GAAGAACAAGAACAAGAACAAGAACAAGAAGAAGAACAAGAAGAAGAAGAAGAACAAGAAGAAGAACAAGAAGAACAAGAAAATATGAAAAAAAAATCCCAACCAATTAAAGTGGTGTTTGAATAACTGCAATGTGCAGTGTGTTTTCTAAAAGTTATTTGTAATAATAATTTTACACCAGCCTCAAGCGCTAGTAAAAATTGCTCAGGTGGATTTTAAATCACTAATCCAATTGTATACGCCCGCTGAATATTATACAGGCTGCTTTCATTAGGTGTTAAGCAAGCATCACTTCTGAGGTCCCGGATAGTTAGCATACTTTGGATATTTTCTCCAGGTCATGCCGGTGTGCTGGGAAATGAGCAATCGGATTAGCTGGCTCTGCACCACTTGATGGTGAATTTATGTATGACAAGTTCGATATTGTGAGGGCCCTTTGGGAGCGAGTAAACAGTGCGGAGTCACAGATAGATCATTACGGTCTAAAGAAAATGGCGCTGTGAGGAGTTACCAGGGGATCTGGCCGACGCTTAACACTCAGAATGAGACGGATATACAATCAGACAGTTACTGGTAACATCGAAATTGGAACTCTTCGCTTGCTGCTGAAGATGGAAACTCAGTACTTATGGGAGTATCCTGAGTGCTGGGATGTCGATTCTTAATTCAACATTCAAAATTCACTAGGTCTTAAAATACAACACACTACTTAAAATTGCGAGCATTTAAAACAAAACAATCCAGACAAAAATGGCCTAATATAACTGCTGGATGCGGTCGCACACAAATAAATAAATGATGATATAATATTTTAAACATATATTTTATCATTTTCTTCAATCTTCCGCAAAATTAGTTTATAGTATCGTCTTGACTGCACATATATAGAGGTTAATTACCTCTGAAAACATATTTCACAGACTGTTAAAAATCCTTGTCCAAATACTGGTATGGGTCTTTTCCAAAACATCACATTGGTCGTCGGATTCTTAAACAACATTTACTTTTTAACTTAACCACTAACTAAGTCTTAGGTTAGCACACTGCAATCTTCTAGCAAGAATAACCTCCCGCACACAGAATAATCCTGGCAGTCAGGTCCCGTCCTGTCATTGCGGAACTTCTATGTGACTCTGATAGAAATAGGGTCGCTTAACGTATTAACTTACATTGATTGATTATATGGCTGATCGGGGGATCGATATCGCCAGGGGTCCAATCATGTTTATCGAAGTACGACCCCGGCTACCCTTACACAGAATAATAAAGACTTTAGAGCTCCAGTGTACCGTGACTTGGCCTGAATCGCCTGAGACACTCGTTTGATTGCTTGACTCGGCGATATCTGCATGTCACCTTTATTGCAATCGTTGCATGGAATTCCTATTGTCTGAATAGTTTTTCTTTATGTTTTCCACACGTAAGAGTCTTTTAGATTTAAGGGAGCCATAGGTTGCTGAAACTTCCCGTATTTTCAAACTAGTAGTAGAAGAAGAAGAAGAAGAAGAAGAAGAAGAAGAAGAAGAAGAAGAAGAAGAAGAAGAAGAAGAAGAAGAAGAAGAAGAAGAAGAAGAAGAAGAAGAAGAAGAAGAAGAAGAAGAAGACTTCTTCTTCTTCTTCTTCTTCTTCTTCTTCTTCTTCTTCTTCTTCTTCTTCTTCTTCTTCTTCTTCTTCTTCGCATTCACCAGATGTAAATTCCAGCGGAAAGTTTTGGTTATTAGTCCACTTCTGACTTCAGTTTTGCGTGCACCTTCGTTTTACGGATCTGGCTTATCTGTATGCAGACTGTTGGTTCCAGAAAAAAAGGGGTTCATTGCATCGGGTTTATTCCCATATGTCTTGGTTTCTCTCCGCAGAAAGGCCAGCCGCCTGATGAGAGCGTCGCACAAAGCACGAACTCAGTACCATTGACGACGACCCAATGGATCTCCGTACAATGGAGCCCGGCCGCGTTAACAACCTATGATATGCTAATGATATAGTAATGATTGCTGGGAAAAAAAACTGCAAGAAATGATAGATATAATTGTAACATGTTATTAACATGTTCTGAGCACGACCTACTATATATATATAGTCGGCAGTCGGCGTGTGATGCGGTCAGCATATATATATATATATATATATATATATATATATATATATATATATATATATATATATTTACAGAGGGACCTGGTTTTGAGTATCCCAGAGTCCTGCATAGCATTCTGTTTTACGTTACTGAATATAAAAAAACATAAAATTGTCTACCAACACCACAGAGCTGTAGTAATAATTTTTACAACGATATACTGTACAGTGCATCGGAGTTAATGGGTTGTAATTGGGATTTTGAGAGCCTGCTAGACGCTGGCCTGCGGGTCGGAAAATCGTGGGTTCGGATCTGGACGGAGCCGAACTTTTTTTTTTTATGGCCTTGGTTCCAAGGTCAACCCAGTCATGAGTGGGCACTAGTGCTGTCCTGTAAAGTAAAGGCGGTCGTTGTGATGCTGACCGCATCACACGCCGACTGCCGATTGGTCTGTAAAAAAAAATAGATCTAGCCCTATATGCCCTGAACGCCTGTGGCTTGAAAAAGGGTCCTTTACTTTTTTCTTAATTTTGATTTTTATTTAGTTTGCATATTTGATATTTATACTTGTCACTTTCTTTGTGTTTTTAAAAATTTCATGGATTGTGTCTTAAATTAACATATTTCAGGAATGTATATTGTTAAATTAAATGTATTTTTAAATGCATTTTACAACAACTATGTGCAACTGCAACCCGCTTCAAAAAAATATGAAACAACTTTTTGCATGTTTAAAGAATTATATTTGAATTATTTATTTAACGGGAGAAATAGCAAAGGAAAAATGTGTGATAAATGCACATTTTAATTTACATGTAATAACTTAAACTAGTAAATTATTACTTTATAAATTAATAATAATGCAAGCGAATTTTTCAATATAAAATACAGTTGACATTTATAACGCCAGATTTCCTGGCAACAACAACAAGCGATTGTAGATTTTGATTTTGCAGACGATGATCATTGATCATTCAGCACAAGTTGTAATTTGAGCATCGGTTTATTGTTTGCATTGGCAGTCTTTCATGTGTTTTTAATTATGATTGTGCATTGCAGATCTATATACATATGGCATTTTAGTTATTGCTAATGAAAACCGGCTGTGTGTGTGTGTGTCTTTTTTTAAAGCGATTATTATTATTATTATTATTATAATTCACACATATGAATGAATTATGAATCACTGAAAAAAGAAAAGGCCTGAGACTGCATTTTGAATTGTTCAGTTAATTTTCATTAATGCTATTTATTTTGTAAATTTAAACTGTAAAGCTGTACACTTTATACTCAAATCTGTGAAACGGCTAACATTTGCCATTACTATTCTGATTCATTGTGTCAGCTGCCGTTTGCACACTTGTCTGTGTCTCTCTGCCCTGGTTGTTCACTTATCACTTACTATACTATACTATACTGTTCATCTATAGCAGTGCTGTCCACCTAAGTTTACTCAGGGGCCACGTCAAAATAAAAACAAATAGGGATCATCACAGGCCAGAGATCTGAACCCCAACAGAGACAGACCATTAATACAACTGTCAATGATCTGTGGGCCACTTGCTAGTCTTTCATGGGCCAGATTTAGCCTGAGGGCCGCCAGTTTAATAACCCTGGTCTTTAGTTAATCTCTTGAGGTGTGCTTTTTTTTTTTTTAATTAATGTTTTGGCTATATATTCAAAATATGTCTTTTTTTTACCAGCGTTTTTTATTTCCAGTCTCTCCAGAACATTTGCCTGTGATTGTTTTGTTTTCATGAAATATATATTCTTCTGTACATCCATATCTCCAAGATCACAACTCGACTTACATTACTGTTCTTCTTCTTCTTTCATTCGCCTAAAATAAGTAGTCTATATCAGCAATTTTGTCCCTTGTTTAAATTTCACTTATGTTGTTAGTTCATTCATTGGTCCATAGAGTTTACGTACCACTGTTGTTCTTTCTGGCCAAAAGGTTTGCTTTAATGTGTCACATTCAGTGCAGTCCTGGAGTACATGCTCTGCTGTCTGGGGCACTTTTCCACAGATGCACATGGCTGATACGCCTATCTTGAATTTTGTGTACATGTGGTGACGTAATCGGTTGTGCTCTGTTCTGAGGCGGATGATAATGACTTGTTCTGGTCTGTACGTAATAAAATAGTCGTCTGTTAATAATCATTATTAATCTTGTTTAATATTAATATATTATCTTCTGCCTTTCTTTCCCAAATTAGGCATCGTTGTATGTCCTCAGCCAGACTCACATCAGGCACTCTTTTCTGTTGACATCCTATTTGTACCACTTAAGGAATGTTTGTAGTTTATAAGTAATTCTTTTAGATCTTACACAAGTGCTGATTTTGTGTTAAAGTTTAATATTTTAAACTTGTTACAAGGTTTTATTTTTTTTAATACTTCGGCAGATGTCCTACTGCAATTGAAGCTGTTTTTTGCTTGTGTATTTAAAGTATCTCTTATTTTTTTCGTCATCTTTGTCTACACTGCTACCCATATGTGTCTGTGTGTGTATGGGGGGGGGGGGGTCTTGAAGTGAGATCCACCTCTTGTGTGCCAGCCGCTATCTCTACAAGGCTCCATGGGCAGTATTTAGCATCGTAAAACTAATTTCATACTACAGTGGACATAGAAATTTTGCAATGATTTTATTTTCAGAGATTTTAAATAAAGTATGAATATTTAACAGTATCATTTTATTTGTAAACTTTTGTTGTTGTTATTGTTGCTTATAATAAATTTACAAAATAATAATTAGAAAATAACTCTGTTTTCAGCTGTACAGTACAGTAAGTAAATATCTGATAATTTATTTTTTCAGATGTACTTGTTTCTCCCTGGATTTCTTAAAATGCACTTGGAGAATCGGTTACCCTGACTACCTCACAAATTATTTTTTTTTTTAAATCTCTGAAATCATCTCATCATGGTGAAAGAGAGAGACGAGGACAGAATGGGCAAATGCGCCATTTGTTGGCAGATTTTACGTCCTAAAAGCCCCTTGTTAAGAGGCAAGAAGTGCACACGGTTTGAAATCAAAGAGAAACTTGAATACCTTCTTCCACCCCAAGATTTCGGAGTTTTGTATGATGAACATATCTTTAGAAACCCAAGAATTTGCAATGTTTGTTTTGTAACCATTAAAAAAATTCCAAGAACAATCTCTAAGCTTCAGGATCTGGTTGGCAAAAAAATAAATACCAAACTCTACAAACCTCATCGTGCTGAATGGAATGAGTTTACTTCTGATTTACCTTTTACAAGAAACAGAACAAATAAGCTTGTTCAGAGCAGCAACAGTTTGTCTTCAAGACAGAGAGCACTACATTTATCCTCAGAAATTGTCAATACAGTGTCTGTTAATGAAGAAAGATTTGACCGAGCAAGTAGAGAAAGATCAAAGTATTCAAGGCACAATTCTCCGGAACCTTTAAATGAAATAGAATGCGAAAGCGACAATGATGCTACCTATACTCACTTACAAAATTCTGAAGGTCAAAGGAGCCACCTTTCTCAGAGTGATTCAGCATCAAAATCGGAAGCGGATATGTTCGAGCATGACAGTCTTTGTGACAGTGTCAAGAAAAAAAGAAATACAGGTAGGTTTGTAGTTTTACTGTCTGCGATTTAAAAATATAAAAAGCCTTATCATTAATAGGGATACTCAGTTGCTGGTTACTGAAAGTCATCTGTCTAGAAATAGTAAAATATTAGAATACGTTTTAAAGTCTTCAACAGAGAATATAATCATCAAGGATCGAGCAGTGAGGGGATTGAGTTTTCTGTTGGATAATGCATTCAAGTTTAAAAGTGCGAATACTCTAGTGTAGTGGCTAGACGCTTACCTTTCAGTTAAAAGTTTATGGGTTAATCCTTATCCTTGGCTACCAGGTCATCCCAGTCTAAAACGGGTACTAGGTAGTCCTGGGAAGTAAAGGCAGCTAGCATGATATTGACTACATCTCCCACCAAGGGCCAGTTGGTCTATAAAAAATATGAGGCTAGCCTCATATACCCACTGGCGTAAAAAATGTTCTTGACTTTTTACTTACTTACAAGTTCGAAGTAAAGAAGCCTTGTCAGTGCTATCAGGGTATTGGATATGTGGTACCAACTGTATATCTTGTAGGCTAGTTGGCACTCAAAAAGTACTATCCTCTGTACCATGCGAGCCTTTCATTATTTCCCTGAACATTTCCTGGCACATTTTATTCTGGGTCTGCCTTGAGACCCGTTTCTAGTCTCTAGCAGGGATTATAGTTAAAAATAACTATAATCTGTGCCGTGCCGATAGCATAGACTGTCGGGCTTTGCCATCTCACTCGATCACCATAATCATGGATAAGGCCATTGTTTCTGTCTCTCTCCATCCATATGGCCAAGTGGTTATCTATTTGTCCTTCCCTTGCTCTTTTTCTGTCAATCTTGCCAGTAATCACCAACCATACCTTCTCATAAAATATCAGAAAACCTCCGACATAGGTAAAATAGCTAATACTAAGCTTTAACATTACATTGTGATAGCTTGTTAGGGCTCATACAAACCCTTCCAGTAATCACCTTTAATTGTAAAGTAAAGATACCTTTACACGCCTTTAGGCGCATCGGGCATATGGGAAGAGCAGCCATATTTTTTCAGACCAATCAGCACTAGGTAAGTAATGTGGTCAGCATTACGCAGGCCGTCTTTACTTCCCCATGACATACATCCTGGTACCCATTTTAGGCTGGGTCGACCTGCGACGCCCCATACGATAAAAATCCATGCAAAAAGGAGCGGGTTCTGATCATGGTATGTTAGAATTATGCGTCGGACTCGCAACGCCTAAGCCACGCACGGTACAAACCTGTATTTGTTGTTTGTGGATTTATTTATTTTTTTTAATAATTTTTTTGGTTTTGTTTTTTGTCTTTCCTTAGATCCACCAAGCAGACCTGAATCTGTTAAGGTGTATGATCATCTGCTGGATGTAGATCCAATCTTGTCATCATCCATATCCACTTCAGATGATGTAATACCACATGTAGATAACAAGAGGAAGACATTAAAAAAGAGAGATTCAGCTGTGAAGTCACTAACTAAAACTAAACTGACATCAGTTACTTGTGACAAAACTATGAAAAGAGAGCCATGTGTAAGAAAAACTAGGCAGTGTAAAGTCAATTATTTACAATCTCAAAATAAAGCTAACAATAATCGATCAATTGCCAGTAATAATCTACAAAAAGAAGATAAGCCTTCTAAAATACAACGAAAAGCTAAACAGTCTCTTGAAGAAAAGTCTTTTAATATGCAACAAAGAACTAAACGGTCCATCACTTTACGAAGAACTAGAAGTAGTGTAAGTAAAGAACAGGAAAATTCAGACTCTGACCATATGGTGGATGTTTCATACTCTGAGAGTGAAGATGAATATCTGCCTCCTTTAACTAGAAGAACTAGTAGGGCCAAGGAATCTGTAAAGTATCTGAGTAAACATGTGTCTGCCTATAAAATATGCCAAGACACAGCAAAGAATAGAAAGAAAGCAATGTCCAGACAGTTGACTATAAAGCTGAAGGCATTGAAATCAAGGAGATTTAAAAGGGGCAAAAATGAGCAGTCAGATATTGCAAACAGTGTTGGTGAGTCCTCTCAGTTTCAAGGAAAGAGTGATGTTGCAAGGACTGGAGTTAAAGAAGACATACCTGTGAGTTTGAGTGAGCACTCAAAGGCTAGGCTTAAGGAGTTAGCAGAACAGGTATGAACAGTTATTTGACTGTTTCTTTCATTTTGTTTGATATACAATTTTCCGCTGTCTTGTTCTTGATCTGCCTTTTGCTATTAGAGGATCCTTTGTTCGTGGGCCGAGTCAAAAATTGTATGAAAAATGTGTTTGTGGGCCAATTTGTTGGTGACTAGAGGCATTCATTTCCTGTGTTACCACTGCACTTCTGTGACAGCATTCAGTGTATTAGCCCAATTTATTGCTTTTCCATTTTCAACAGCTTGTGTCACAACATCGCAGGGCTGACAAGCATTGCTGGATACATACGGAAAGGAGTTGATCACTGTCGATTGGGTCTTATAGTCTTCTTTTTCTTCTTCTTCGCATTTCCCGGCTGTAAACTCCAGCAGAAAGTTCTGGTTGTTTGTCCACTTCTGGACTTTGGTCTTGTTCCAGAACTTGAGTTTTGCGTGCACATCTGATTTACAGGTCCGACTTATGTGTAAGCAGACTGTTGGTTCCTCGAATCTCAAACAGATGCACTGCTACTTCAGAGGAAAGAGCATATTAGACTTTTATGACATGTTGGTGGCAGTGTGTCTATCCTTTTTTCTCTCTGAAGAATGGTGACTGTTCTTTGGCCACATAATAAGAAGAGAGACATTGGAGAACATCGTGGCAGCTGGAAAGATCAGTGGAAAGTGGGGTAGAGGCAGACCAAGAGAGATGATGCTAGATGGGCTAAAACCATTGCATGGAAGGATATCATCAAAAGAGCTGCTCTAGGTCAACCAGGGATCATGATCTGTGGAGATGCATCAGCGCCTACGCCAGTTGGCTTGGCACATGATGATGATGATGTTGAAGAATGGAGTTTTAGAACCCACAAAGGGAAGTCTCAAAGAGTTATATGTGTAAAGATGTCTTCTAGTTTGTCTTTTGCCTTATACCATTTTTTTATATACATTTTTTTTTTCATCTTTCTTTTATTTTACTGTCTCCAAGTTTCTGCTTCAACTCTTTCGGTACCAAGGAACACACCATGCATTATTTTATATCTAATTTAACTGACCTATGGTCTCAGAGAGTTAACTTTCTTTTCTGAATTATTAGAGGTGCTAGTGGGAACTTGGTGGGAGTTTATATACTGAAATGCATTTTCTTTCCTCAGGTAACAAAGTATTTACATGATAAAAGCAATATATCCCAGAGAATGTTAATTAGATGTTCTGTCGGCAGCTGTGACCATCAGTATCCGCTGTGGTGCCATCAGGCAGTGCATGTGAAATATTACCATTATGGTGAGTTGTCTACAGTTTAGTAGCAGTGGATATACTTTACTTTATTATTTGGAGATATGTCAATTAAGTTCCAGAGGAATGATGGATGGAACCCCAGAACCCACAGGGAAAACTTGGAGATTAGTCATGCCAATTAAGTTCCAGAGAAATGATGGATGGAACCCCAGAACCCACCGATGAATCTTGGAGATAAGTCATGTCACTTCAAGTTCCAAAGAAATGATGGGTGGGACCCCAGAACTCACCGTGGAATCTTGGAGATAAGTCATGTCACTTCAATTTCCAGAGAAATTATGTCATTTAAAAATTTCTGCATTTCTCTTTTTTTATTTTTTTTTTTTTTACTTATAGTTTCCTCTGTGTTGTGCTGCCATGTTAAAAAGTCAGAAGGGAGACCCTTTCATACCTTGAACCACTTTGGGTGTTTGGTGTCAGCCTCTTGTTGGTTAGATCATGATGAGTGATATCATGCTTGTTGCTTTTACTTTCTAGAGAATTTTCTGACATTCATTTAAAGCCATATCAACCTTGGATTCTGGATTTTTAAAAAAAAAAATGTGTATCCTTACTGTGAGAGATATTCAAACACAAGACCCCATAGCTGGCAGGTAAATATGGTAGCTATGGCATTACCGGAGTCTCCTACTGTTACATGGAGAAAAAAGTATTAGATTCTATGCCTTCATTTATAATGGAAAATAATGATCTGGGATTTTAATGCCTCCCCATAGCACAATATAACATTGGCATCTGGAAATACAGAAAGGTGCCAACGTTTATGTTGAATTATCTGATGCTAATTCAGTGTATTTGAAGACCAACCAGGACTCATAAAGATATGGTCAGTGTCACAGATTCTGTTTTTGCTTTCATTTATTGTTAAAGGTAATTTATCAGCTCCAAGAGCAGTTAATAGTAGACAGTTTGGTACTGAACAGGAGTATTTCCTGAAATTTTCTTATTTTGCATTCATCTGTGGGTGTAAATGTGCTGTGCTCGTTTACAGCATGTAATTTTTATTTCTTTTTGGCCGATACATCCTACTTCTTCTGGCAGTTGTTTCCCTGGTTTGCCTTTCCAGAGACAAAATAATAAATATTAAAGAACTGACAGTGAAACATTGAACACTGAATGTGCATATAAATAAATAAGCTGATCAACTGGCAGGGAAAGGTGTGACAAAAGTGCATCCGGATGTACCAGTCACATACCACCAAAAGAAAAGAATCATTAAATCGATCAGGAAACCACCAGCCCAACCCAAGACGACTATTTTATTATGGACAGACCAGAACAAGTCATTATCCTCCACCTCAGAACAGGGCACAACGGATTACGTAACCACATGTACACAAAATTCAAGATAGGTGTATCAGCCATGTGCACCTGTTTAAAGGTGCTCCAGACAGCAGAGCATGAACTCCAGGACTGCACCGAATTTGGCACATTAAGGCAAACCTTTTGGCCAGAAAGAACAACAGTGGAACGTAAACTCTATGGACCACTGAATTAAATAACAACGACAGTGAAATTTATACAAGAGACAAAACTGCTGATATAGACAACTTATTTCAGGTGAACGAAAGAAGAAGAAGAAATAAATACAATACAATACATTCAGTGGCCAGACAGTAGAAAATTTATTTTCTACGTTTTGGTCGTGTGTTTCCGTGCTAGATTTTTACCTAGATAATTTTTGTTTTATTAACATTTTTAATGTTACTTTTGTTTTTAAGATGGTGTGGCTCCAGATGACAGTTGTTTTACTCAAAAGATGTTCATGTTGGCGGATAATGGTAAACTTTACAGTGGTGAGTATATGTATGGGGAATCTAGGTACATCTTTATTTTGTCTCTGAGTTTTGGTATGTGCAGTGTTCCCTCAAAGTCGGAGTACATCTGCCGGTGAGGCAAGGAACGGCAAACAGATAAGCCAGTAAAATGGATGAACACGCAAAACTCAGGTCCAGGTAAAAGCCAAAATTCCAGATGGACGAACTACCGGAACCTTCCGCCGGAATTAACAACCGGAAAGCGAAGAAAAAGGTATGTGCAGTCTTTTCCCCTCATAAAAATTAGTTTTTAGGTGCCTGAGATAAGGATGTAAATCTTTAACAAGCTTATAAATTAATTAAAATTACAAAATAGACTGCTGAAGAAAAGCGTTTTGAAAGGGGCAGATACTTGCTGTATTAACGACTGTATAAGCCATACTGGATGGAAAGGTCAAAGTTGAATAAGAAGCAGGCAGTACCATAGAATGGAAAAGAGTATTAAGAAATAAAAAATGTGCTGTACACAGAAATGAGGCAGGATGTTTTGAGATCCTTGGTAGCCCACCTTCTTTGCGATAATAATGCATGACTGACTGATACATTTCTGTGTGAACTTTTCCCAGCTGAACTAAGTTATGAGAACAGTAATTTTTAAATGATTTACACAAAGGTCTTTCTTGTTTTAATTTCTCGGAAGTAAATCACTTTTATATTTATAAAACACCTGAAAATGTACCAGTTTTACATTTTTGTTGCTTTTAATCATATATTAAACAAGTATCTATGTGTAATGGGATCTCTTGTTTACTTCTAGAAACATTTCCATTCAAGTGCACACATGCAAATTGTGGTCTTGCATTTACAAGTGAGGACATTTTACAGGTACCTTAAAATATATTAATAAAATTATTATATTTTGTAATTTAAAGAAATCTGGTCTAAGCTTTCGAACCTAGGATCCTGAAATAACATTGTGTTTGTGTTTGTAATAGAGATTATTAGTGACTGACATACCAGTCTCAAACACTTACCATAGATCAGTGAGATGGGTATGGAAATGTAGGAAAAATAATTATGACAGGGGATACTAACGTCATGTAGAGAGAGCTGCATTAAAATGTTGGCTCTCCTCTGAACGTCGTCCTAATATTATGGCGGCCATAAAATATTCTTACAGGGCTCAGGCATATGTAAAATGCAGACTTTTCGGCATGCGCAAAACTCGATTAAACTCACCACCGAGCGTATCGGCCGCTACATGCGGCGCGGATGGGGGGCTAAACTAGGTGCCTGGGACTCATGAGCAAATTAATTGGAGGAAGTTGCAGGAGATGCGGTAGCTGCTGCTTGTGAGTCCCAGCCATCTAGTTTAGCCCCCATCCGCTCCGCGCATAGCGGTGCAGGGGATACGGTCGGCGGTGAGGCACAGTCACAGAAACAGGTCCGCAAGTAACATGTACATTTTGAATCTGGTGACAAGTAAATGTTTAATACTGTTATAGTTAGTAGGAAAGAAGAATTCAGCAGGTGTTAATTTTACAAAATTGTACAAAACAATTCTTCACTTACCATAATTTTTCTTCTTCTTCTTCTTTCGTTCGCATGAAATAAATTGTCTATATCTGCAAAGCCGTCTCTTGTATGAATTTCACTGTCTTTTGTAATTCACTAAGCGGCCCGTAAAGTTTGACTTCCACAAGTGTCTCTTTTGGCCAAATGTTTTGCCTGAAAGCGTTGAATATGGGACAGTCTTGAAGGATGTGATCTGTTGTTTCAGGTGCCAGTCCACAAGTACACATGGCCGATTGGCCAATCTTAAATTTGTTGTACATGTGGGAACGAAGTCTATTGTGCCCTGTTCTAAGGCGAAGGATAATAACTTGCTCTGGTCTGTCCATAATATGGTAATCATCTTGTGCCAGTTTCGGTGGCATTCTGATTGATTTGATCATTCTCTTCTTCTGTTGATAAGAGACTGGTATGTCAGGTTGTTCTTCAGTTGCACCTTCCTTAGCTAGTTTATCAGCTTTTTCGTTTCCAGGAACTCCACAGTGGGAAGGTATCCACTGCATTACTAATTTACAGCAGTGGCCTAGTTCGGATAATAGTGTCCGTATGCTTGGTAATTTTCCAGACTGGAGTGACTGAAGTACTGCTTTTGCATCTGTCAGGAATACCACTGGTTGTGAAAAATACCCTGTATTTAGTAGTTTCTCTACCGCTATCTTGATGGCTTGAACTTCTGCATCATAGTTGTGACAGTGCTTTCCCGTTGGTAATTTGGCTGTATCCCTGGTATTATTAGGATACTCAATGTACACTCCCGCACCTCCGTTTCTGACTGCGCTTTCTGCTGACCCATCTGTGTAAACACGGACCCAAAGGTTCTGCGGGTATTCATCATCAAGTAAACTGAGGGTGGCTGTTTTGCGCTGCACACTGTTTTGTTCTTCCTTGTCAAATACCCCTTTCACTTCAGTCTTGATGTGTATTGGAAACTTATACTGCTCTCTCCAGGGGGTCCGTTCTGGGACAGCATTTAAGGATCTATCAGTTGCAGGTAAATCAGTGGTTTGTCTGCCGAGCCGTTTGGCCTGGTGAATAAAACTACTTCTCTTTAGTCGTCCCAAAGCTAAATTTTTGAATCTTTCATTCATAGGGTGACTGGGCATACTAAGAAACTTTTCTGCTTGTAAAAGCATCTTGGTGTCTCTGCGTTCACTTAGTGCTTGGGTCATCCCCTTTTTCTCCATCACAGCTATAGGTGTTGATTTCATACTGCCTGTGGTAACTCTGAGTGCTTGATTTTGCACTTTGTCGAATTCTTGCAATGTGGTTTTTGATGCCGAACTCCATGCTGTTGATCCGTATTCAAGATGTGGTCGAACACTTTGTTGGTAAACTTTTCTAAGTATTTTCCCGCTAGCACCCCATGTGGTTCCACTTAGTTTTCTCAGAATGGCTACCCTCCTTCTGGCTTTGGTTGCTGCCTTGTTGATGTGTTTTCTCCATGTTAATCTATCATCAAACGTTACGCCGAGGTATGTGGGCTCCTTATCCTCTCTCAGGGGTACTCCATTTATGTGCATGGCGCCTGATTTTTGTTTAGGAGAAAGGGTAAAGAGAGTGGTGCTGCATTTGCCTATGTTGATGCTGACACACCATTTGTCGGCCCATTTAGCCATTGCATCTATGGCTCTTTGTAGCAGTCTGGTGGCCACTGTCGCATTTTCATTTGTACACCAGAGTACCAAGTCATCAGCATACATTGCAGCTTTAATTCCATGGGTAGTTCAGAAAGCAGGTCGTTGATATAGACTAGGAAGAGTGTGGGGGACAGGACACCTCCTTGTGGGACGCCATGGCGCAGCAAAACTTTCTTGCTCTTAAGTTTATCTATCTGTACTCGGGATCTTCTGTTATACAAGTATGCTTTGACCCATTTGTACATACTCCCATTCACCCTGCAGTCTCTCAGTTTCTTCAGTAGACCTTCTTTCCAGACCTTGTCAAAGGCTTTCTTCAGATCTATCCATGCCGTTAGCACTAGCTTCTTTTCCTGGAAGGCATCCTCAATTTCTTGTGAAAGGTAAGTTGTCTGGTCTTCTGTGGAGTAGCACTGTCTAAATCCTGCCTGCTGCGGCGTGAAAATGTTTTCACTTTCCAAGTACCATTGGAGTCTAAGGTTGACAATACGTTCCATTGTTTTACAGAGGCAGCTGGTAAGACTGATCGGTCTATAGCTGGAGGCATCAGAACTGTCCTTTCCTGGTTTAAGCAGAGGTATTGTGATTGCTTCTCTCCATATTTGAGGAACTTTGCCACTGGTCCAACAATGATTAAAGATCTGTAGCAGCTTTATTTTGGCAGTTGTTCCAAGGTTCTTGATCATTTCGTTGGTGATTCCATCAGTTCCAGGTGATTTTCCCATTCTCAGCTTTGATATTGCTAATTCAAACTCGCTGGATGTAAATGCTGCCACCAGTGCCTCAGGAATTATATCTTTTTGTCTTGTATGTTGTTTGTTTTCTTGAACCTCTCGCTGTTTCTCTGGGCTGACATTAATGTTGCTGTCTTCTGCAAAGGAATCTGCAAAGTGGTCAGCTGCCTGTTTTCTTGTTAGGATGGCTCCCTCTTTGCACAGTGCAATATAACCATTTCTCCCTGTATTCTCATCATTAATTTGCTTAATTAACCTCCACAACTTCCTTGTGTCTCTTTCAAAGTTTAGGGACTTTTGTCTTTTCCTGCCAGCTTCTCCGTCTAGCCTGCAGTTTGGCTCTTTGAAATTTGGCCTTTGAATGTTGGTAGTTGTTAAACTGCTCTTGACAAGGTCTGGTCTCAGCCTGTTTTCCATAATTTTGCAGTCACAAGAGCAGAGAATGTCCTGATTTGAAAATAACACTTTAAAGTTTGTTTGGTTTCCTAATAATTCTAAAGTTATAAGTGTCTTGGTTAGTTTAGCACTCAGGGGCTCCAAGTTCAACCAGTGTGCTGAACAAAATTTCAAAGAGAAAAATGCACCATCAAACACACAATGTTTACTTTGTGCAGTTATATTCAAACTGTAGCTGCACTGATTTCAATGTAGCTTAGCCATAGAATTTGTTATTTGTTTGGAGCACTTTCCTTCTCTTACACCCTAAATATGATAGCAATGGGGCAGTGTCAGACTCATCAGAATTGCTAGATTTCCTAACAGCCAATCGCTCAGCTGCCGCTGGTGTAAATTTATCATCCGAATGACTTTCTGAAAAATCTAAATTCACATTATCATTATCAGAATTACCAACATCTAACTGCAACAGTTTTTGAACTTCGGGCGCAGAAAGACACATTTTGCGACTTGTACTTGTGGTTGGAACCTTGGTATCCATGGCACTACAAAACGAACGTAAAAAATGCACTGTTGAAAATAATGCTAGCTATGAATCGGATCAATCTGCACACACGTCTTGGAACACAGAATTTTATTAAGGAAGATGTTAGAGTAACCTTCCCTGAATACTTTAATGGTAGTTCCGAACATTAGAAACAGATACAGAGCTGTGGTGCGAAGCAGTATGTAGGGGACACACAATCGACGCTGATAGTGTTGTTTGGGCAAATCGGAACTTCTTAAACAACACTCACATCGTTGCTCAGATCTTAAAGAGTTAAGAGACAATTGGAGCACTTTTATCATATGCTTAGAGATTCTTGTGTGTTTTTTTTTAAGTTTGGAGCACTTTTGTTAGCTGCCTGGGAATACTTTAATGTGCACTATTAGAAGATGGTAGCACTTGTGTCGTCAGCCTTGAGATTCTTTTAATGTGAAAGAGAAGATTGGGGTACCTGCGACCTGTAGAGATATCCTTATGAAATAAATATGATCCTTTACAGACAAACCCAAATTGTACCATTGCTGTCTCCTTAATTTAGGAACATGAATCTGCTCATGGAAAGAAGAATGTGCTCATGTGTGGATTTCCTGACTGTACAAAAGCTTTCAAAAATCCAAGATCGTTGCTTGTTCACACTGCATCCCACACTGGAGATCAACCATTTGTGTGCACCAAGTCTGGATGTGAAAAAAGTTTCAAGGACACTGAAGAGCTATCTAAGCACAGAGCTAGACACACAGGTCAGTTGGAGTAGAAGAGAATTACTATTGTAAAAGTCTTATTCTTTTCTTCTCATTATTCCTTTTCTTTATCTTCTCCTCCTCCTCCTCTTTTAATATTCTCCTCCTAAAAATAATAATCGTATATAATACAGTCAGCAACATGAACAGCTGTGTACAAATATTTGAATAATCTTATTTTCATGACTGATTAAATAGTTGGCAGTTTGGGAAAAAATTTGAAATCCCTTACCAAGGATCAAGACAGCCCAGTGCTGTAACAACTTGATCTACTGCTCCTCATTTGACTTTTACTAACTATAGAATACTAATGAGATCATGAAATATACAGTTTTCATTTGTGTTTTTTTACAATCTCAGAACTCAACAACCGTAAGTCTACTCATGTGAAGTATGAGTCTCTGCGCTGCGATGCTTGTGGGAAGCAATATGCAAATGAGAAAGGTCTTCTTCGTCACAAGCGTAGAATTCATGGCGGTGAGCAGTTTGCATCAGTGTATTTGTTACTGTATCTTCTTCTTCTTTGTTCACTGGCTGTAAGCTCCAGCGGAAAGTCCTGGCTGTTTGGGCTTTGTGCCAGGGTCTGAGTTGTGTGTTTACATCCATTTTCCTGGCTTATTTGTGTGCGGTTGGTTGTTCCTTGCCGCTCGTGCAGATGCACTCTGAATTCTAAGGAAGCCTCCAATTAGTTGACTCGCACAACATTCTTGTTGGGGAGGCAGTGGGTCTATTCTTGTTTTCCCCACAATGTGGCTCCGGAACCCACATGAGAATTACTGTATAATTTTTAACTGCTTCACTGTGCATTTGGGGATTAAAACTATTATTTCTTCATTTAGTATCATGGAATTTTAGCACTTGCATTATAAAGGTGGTGGGGGGGGGGAGGGTTATTATGTATGCCTCTAGTTTTTTTTTTTCTATCTCACTGTTGAATGTTCATCTGTATGATTTTTTTTCTTTATCTTATCTGTTTCATGTTTAGGTTATTGTTAAGCTGTTATCATGAAATGTTTCTCTGAGTTGTCACGAAATCAGTAGCCTTATATGTTCCTATAACAACTTCAAGGAATAGAACGAGTTAATATATGTTGTTGGGAATGAACACACAGTGCAAATTCCTTCATAAAAGGACCCTTTTCCATGCCTTTATGCAAAAAGAGGCTAGGTCTGTATTTTATGGATGAATCGACACTGGGTGGGTGATGTAGTCAGCATCACCCAGCCGCGTTTACTTCACATGACCATACCTGATAGTCAGCATCACCCAGCTGCCTTTACTTCACATGACCGTACCTGATAGTCAGCATCACCCAGCCGCGTTTACTTCACATGACCGTACCTGATAGTCAGCATCACCCAGCCGCGTTTACTTCACATGACCGTACCTGATAGTCAGCATCACCCAGCCGCGTTTACTTCACATGACCGTACCTGATAGTCAGCATCACCCAGCCGCGTTTACTTCACATGACCGTACCTGATAGTCAGCATCACCCAGCTGCCTTTACTTCACATGACTGTACCTGATAGTCAGCATCACCCAGCTGCCTTTACTTCACATGACCGTACCTGATAGTCAGCATCACCCAGCCGCGTTTACTTCACATGACCGTACCTGATAGTCAGCATCACACGGCTGCCTTTACTTCACATGACCGTACCTGATAGTCAGCATCACCCAGCTGTCTCTACTTCACATGACCGTACCTGAAACCTACTCAGGAGTGGGTCGACCTAAGAGCCAAGGTCTTTTTTTTTAAAAGTCCCGAACCCATGACCTTTTGATCCACAGACAAGTGTCTAGCCACTACACCACGGCAGCTCACTGATTACTTGATGGCATCAGTAAACTCTTGTTTTTTGTTTTTTTAAACCATTTATCGAATTATTTGTACTCAAACAGCAGGGACTCAACCAACCAATAAAAGACAGTATTAGTAGCATTATTAATGAGGAGAAGCCAGCCGAACGGTTAGAACGAAGAGCTGTCGTGGGAGGTTCAAATCCTCTGTAAGAAGGTTATTGGTTGGTTTTTGGTTTTTTCTGTCGAGGACAAAAATAAAATGATAATCTGCAGTCTGTGGAGAGAACTAGCCATGCGGCCCCAAAAAATCCAAAACAGACACCCCTGCCTAAACCGCAAAAGAAGTGGTAAATACAGACACTATTATGTGTTTTTTATTATTATTATTATTATTATTAGTAACAATTACCTGGAAAGAGCTAATAAAAAATAGAACAATAAACTGAACTGTAAAAGAGACAAACATAACATACAAAATGCTTTTTTTTTTTTTTTTTCAGTTGGCAAGCCTGGTCGCCACATTTGCCCCTATGAAGATTGTACGGAGTCATTTGTGAAGAAAGAAAAGCTAGAGATTCATCTGTGCTCTCACTCACCGGAGCGACGCCTCTTCTGTGAGAAGTGTGGAAAGAAATTCAGTTGCCAGCGCTATCTGGATGTTCACTACAAAATTCACATGAGTGAGTAACACTTTTATCATCGTTATCAGATTGGTGTTCAATTCCATGACTGATGTTGGAGCTGAGTTGAGTTGAGTCAAGAATTGACATCACAGCACTCAGGGCATTCCCATGTATGCTCCATTCTCATCTTCAACAGCCAGCACAGCGTTCCAGTACTTACTAATGGTACCGGTCTTAATCTGGTTATATGTTCGTCTTGCCTTCCTCTGGATGTAGTGAACCAGCCAGACCCTCTGGTTACACCCAGGTGCCTCATTCTTTCTAGGCCATAATAATCTTGTTTTGCTTCGTTGCTTCAGAGGGCCCTGACCACATCTGCCTTGTCATGTATCAATTCACCACCCAGTGGTGCAGATCCAGCCAATCTTTCTGCCTGTTCATTCCCCACCACGCCGGCATATCCTGGAAAAAAGATCCTAAGTAAGCTCACTACTGGTGTTGAAGTACTGTTATCGCCCGGCTCTCTAGCGGAATTGGCTAAACCGGATTTCGCGGAGACCGGGTTACGTACTCCTTGTGGTCCGGGTTCAATCCCGGGGGTAGGCAGGAAAGCCACATTTTCTCCCAGATTTACCGTATATACAATGGAATCAAGGCCGAAAGGTTGCGATATCCATAATACCGAGCCTAAGGGTTAACAACTCATGGCTTCTGGATACTAAAACAAACAAACAAACAAGTACTGTTATCATGCCTGTCTCTGTCTGGCTCTCTCTCTTTCTTTCTCTCTCTCTCTCTCTCTCTCTCTCTCTCTCTCTCCTTCCTCTCTTCCTCCCTCTGAACATCTGTTTGTGTCTCTCTTTTCCCTCCTCACAATAACCCCCCCCCCCCCACCCCCCTTCCTTTTACAATCCAAGATGCCTTTTTATAATGTGCCAGTAGAATGAATAATACACACTTTTATAAAGATCTACCATCTTACATTATGTTTAGTAGCATATGTTCAGTCTCTAAACTGGTTGCATTTCAAGTTGACCCGAGATTATTTTACCTCTGTCTTTTGCACACATTCAGAGATAACCAAGAATATGAGTATATGTAAATAAAGCATTAGTAAACTTTACAACCTCACAGTTTTTGGAAGCTAAGGAATGTTAGTAAAATTGCATAAATTATTAACAAATTTAAACATATAAAACTATTTAGTATTGATTTAATTATATTTAAAAAGTCCCAACCGAAGATTACAATATTTTTTATAGGTTTAGTAATTTTTTAATACATTGCTATATCCTGTAGAGAAAGAAAAAGTATTTTGTACACATTTTTTAAATATGTTTCTACACGTTAAAAGAAAGTATTAACTACAGATAAGTATGTTGAGGAAAGAAGCCAGAGAATGGGAACTGGATTCCATTCAAGATATCTGAGTGATTTCACAGGGTAGAATGAAATGGTGAAGTAGACTGCCACCTGTATGTGTCGTATAATCAAACACCAGGACAAAGAATGAATGAATGAATCTTCTTCTTCTTCTTCTTCTTCACTTCCTCTTTTACCGCTGTGGGTGTCGAGGGAGATATAAGGTTCTGTTTCTAGCTCTTCTGGCTGCCTCGACCATAGGCACATCGTGCTGTTGTGGAGTTTCTCTGATGTTATCCTTCCATCTTGTTCTTGGTCTACCCCGTGCTCTACGTCCTTCTTCTCTTTCCATGTATGCTTTGTATGATATGGTGTCACAAGGCATTCTCTCTAAGTGGGCAAACCATTTCACTTGCTGTCTTTGTATGTAATCCAGAATTGGTTCTGTGCCGACTTGTTCTCTTATGATCTCATTCCTGATCTTATCTCTTATGGTCACTCCTACAGCCCTTCTCAGACATCTCATTTCCGTGGTTACTAATTTTCTTTTATGGTTTGTTGTGAGTGACCATGTCTGGCACTGGTAACACAGAGTTGGAATAAATGAATGAATGAATAGATTTAGCAATATCTGAATCTTTTTCTCTGTTCTGGCAGAGATTGAAGAAGATTCAGTACAGATTGAACAATCTTTAATCTTTTTCTCTGTTCTGGCAGAGAATGAAGAAGATTCAGTACAGATTGAACAATCTTTAATCTTTTTCTCTGTTCTGGCAGAGAATGAAGAAGATTCAGTACAGATTGAACAATCTTTAATCTTTTTCTCTGTTCTGACAGAAAATGAAAAACACGCCATGAGCCCACCTTCCAGAAGCATTCGGTGTGAATTTACTAGCTGTGATAAAATGTTCACCACCCGAGAAAACATGAAAAGTCACGTCCTGAACCAACATAGAGGCCGCAAGCCCAAAGCTGTGCCCGGAGTTTTCTTTCCATGTGCCGTAGAGGGCTGTGGCAAGAAATTTTCCTTCAGGTCCACTCTGTACCGACATAACAAACTGGTGCACAAAGGAGGAGACTATAAGTTGGGACGCGAGGTGGTCAAGTATGTGTGTAAGTTCGAAGGCTGTTCTAAGGAGTTCAACCGTAGAAACCTACTGGAGGAGCATATGGTGATGGAGCATGGCAAGGCTCCCAAGAGACTGCTGCCCTTGCAGAATAAAGAGCTGGATTTTATAGAGAAAATGTGTGTGCACTGTGGGATGGCACTCACAGCTTCCCAGTTGCCTCGTCATATTGAGATCTATCATAGTGATAGAGCTATCAGAGAAATGAAGGAGGTAAGTGGCACTAGTACAGGTGTAATTGTGTGTTTAGAAGTCTCTTTGTCTGCTACGGAGGCTTTTAAAAAGGGCAATATAATTCAGGTCTTGGTCAGATAAAATTGAGCTACCATATAACAGTAGTCAGTACTACCTTTTCTCTTTTATTGCCGCATATTGGCGGTGTATACTAAAAATAAAATACTTTTTGTGCTAAGGGCTTATGGCAGAAGAGCGTGTTGTGGAGGATACTAGGGTTCTATCCCAATAATTCACCACAAACACAGGAAATCCGCAGGTCATGGGACAGTCTAATAGTTCAGGGGGTGCTGTATAATGTAGTAATTTGGCATTTCATTTGCCGTGCAGTTTTGTGCTGTTTTCAGGTTAGTGTGCTTCTTGTGCTCTTTGTTGGTGTGCATTTGTCTGTTTTTGGTGTGTATTTGTCTGTGTGTTGGTACAATCGGAGGATGCAGTTTTTGTGGATGTTTTCTTGTTTTGTTGCTGGGAAGGAGGACCTGGGCTGCTGCACTCTCTCGTGGGACATAGGTTGGTTGGGGTTAGGGTCAGTTGTAGATGTTTTGGGGTCAGTTGGCTGTTTTGCAATTTGTGTGAAACTGTGTGCAATAGAACAACTGCCAATTGTGGTACTGTGGGGGTGGCACTAAAAAGGGCCATTCATTCTAGATTTTTACTGCTGGGTTCGTGCATGATTTGACAATCAGAACAATTTTACACGCTAGTCGATCTGGAGAGAAGTCAGAATACGGCAACCACACTAGGGTGCCGTATTCTGACTTCTCTCCAGAGTGTGGTTGCTCCACTCCACAGTTGTACTCTTTGACATACCCAGCTCTACTTGGCAAAATGTAATGCTTGTCAACTCGTGAAACCAGTAGTATAGATAAAAAATGATCTGCCTGTAAGGTAGGCGCAACCTTTACAGCCATGTCCCTTGCCATAATGGTATGTCCAGATGACAGGTCAATAATAGCATCACATGATTCTTTTGCCACAACATCTGGTGCTATGCAGAATGCCATGATGTTGCAGGAAAGCTACATTGCTCTCCTTGTCAGGCACCGATGCTGCTAATTCGAGGAAATTCATGGTGATGAAGACTGAACACACAAATCGGTCTTCGCTGGAGAGATGACGCTGCAACACTAGTCACTGCAAAGACGCAAGAAACACGCCAAAATCCTTGGCAGTGCTTGACAACGCTTTGGAAGACACACACACACAACGAAAAAGCCCATTTTTAACACCCTCGAAAAAACTGGACTGTCCCGTGACGTCATCTGTGGTGAATTGTTGGAAATGTACCGGAGACTAGCCTTTTCCTAGAACGAGTTCCTAAAGGCTTCAAAATATTCTGCTTAATCATGTAACAAGACTGATATTTTACCCCACCATGACATCAAAATGAGCAATAAACACCTGATGACACAAAGTGTCACCATTCGGATGAGGATCACCCTGGGACAGGTCCCAAAGAACATCACTCTCATCACGGTCTGTCTGAAAGAAACTCTGTCTCTTGACAGCTCTCCCGCAGTTTCATATTCAAGAAGTCACTTATATCCTGTGCCCGTTTTCATGTTGGTCTGCTCCTGCCCCTCCTTCCTGATACCATGCCTATGGCTATTTATTTTTTTCCTAGTCCGCCATGGCGCTTGATATGACTAAAATATTTCACCTTCTGAGAAAAGATGCTGTTTATGAGCAAATCTTCCTTGATGTTCAGATCTTTTAAAATGTCAGTATTTCTTCTCTTCTCTGTTCGTGGTATTCTGAAAATCTTTCTATAGCATTTCAGCTCAAAAGCCTCAATTTTCTTTCTTAAGGACTGGGAGATAGTCGACAACTCGCATACAAATATTGCTCCAGAGAAGATGCATGCTCTTAAAATGTTAGTTTTGATTTCCTTGCTGGTGCTTACCCATATACTTTTATTGCTGTTTAATCTTTGCATTGCTATGGCCATCCTCCTTTTGACTTTTGTCGAACAGTCTCCATTGCTTTTCTATGTCTAACCTAGATATTTAAAGTTTCTGAGATTTTCAATTTCTTCATCATTTATTGTTATTTTGATATCAGATTTAACAAATAAAATGCTGTATACATTTGTTTTTGGTTCAGCTTTAGCGAAACAATTTCCGCTGTTGTGTTGGGCTGCGAATCAATTTCTACTGTTTTGTTGGGCAGCAAAATAATTTCCACTGTTTTTTGGGGGGGGGGGGGGGGGGGGGAGGGTGGCCTCGAAACAATTTCTACTGTATTGTTGGGCCGCGAAACAATTTCCACTGTTTGTTTTTTTTTTTTGCTGTAAAATAATTGCTACTGTTTTGGTGGGCCGCGAAACAATTTTGACTGTTTTTTTTTTGGGGCCGCAGTGTAAAAAGTTTGTGAAACGCTTTTTTAAAGACTACGCAACTAATTATTTTTCCCCCAGGTTCTGTCAGACATGATTTGGTTTAGTTTTTAACTTTGTGTTTTTTCAGAGTCTGCCATACTGCTGTCACCTGAAAGATTGTGATCAGATTTTCAGCACACAGGAGGACAGGAAGTCCCATGTCCAGGAACATATAAGTCAGTGATTTGTTTGTTTTTCTAAATGTACAGTGACCACTCACACACAGTATCAACAAATATCAATATACTTTGACAAGACATTCAAAGATGGACTCGGGCACTATTTCTTCATGATGTTGTTTAACAGTTACAGACACAAGTAATTAAGTATCAAATCAGGTTGGTGACGCCTTCGACATCAAGATAGGAGACATTGTAACCAACTTTTAATGGAAACAAACAAACTTTATTCTCAGAGGGTCACAAATTGGGCACGCAGGCCTGTCTCACATTCGGCACCCACACAGTGAAGGTCATAGTTTGAAGGAAAGGTTCTAGTTCTTTTCCTCAGCTCTTTTCTTTTAATTAGCAAACAGTTCTGAAAATGTCTTAGTATCCAAGCTGAGTAGATTTCACTGTTGTCTTCCTCTGTCACTGCACAGTGGAACATAGCCCTCAACCGTCTCACACCAAGCACTATATGGAGTTACTCATTATTGGTTGAATGTTGCAGCTAAAGTTCATCCCTACCCATCTAGGACTTCTGGTGTAGCCATTAGGGGTACCCTAATTATAACCTTTTTTTTTTTTTAGATAAAATGGGGTATCTGGGATCTGCCTTTTTGAGTCTTCCATCCAGAGATTTGTTAGTTGCTTCTTAAGCCATGTTAGGTAGTTTAGAATGTTACCATTCTTTTGCTTTCTTTATTAGCCCTGGTAACACTTGAACCATAAAGTTGTAATGAATGAAAAAAATATTGCCACTGCAAATAATAGAAGATCTGCTGCCTTGACAGCAGTGTACTGATAAGAATGCTTCTACCAAATATAACCTTTATCTTTGCTTACGGAGACCTTTACTTCCCAGGAATTTTCTTTGAATACTTTGTATCCTGGGCTGACTTAAGAAACCTAGATAAAATCTGTCTCAATGTGGACTCAAGCAGTGTGTGTCAACAAAACAGTTGACGTCTAGAACAGTTGACGTCTAGTGGGAACAGATGCAGCGGACACAATGTCTATGTCCAAATGAACAAGAATAGGGAGTTTTTCATTGTGATTCACTCTAGTGTCATCTCGTTGTATAATGAACTAGTGGACCATCTGGCAAGTGTTGCAGCATTGCATGGAGATGATGAAAGGACAAAGCTGATATCATCAACGCTGTACGGGATAGGCTGGCAGATAATGACCAGTCACTGGAACTAACATGATTACATGAATCCTGGTGAAGCCAATCTTTGCCATCTTCAAGCTTAAGATAGGTGATGTCGTAACCAGCAATCATGGGAACAATCAGTAGAGATACCTTGGGGTGGCTGCTGCATTAGAGGCCTGTGCACATGTTGGAATGCCCAGTGTGCAGTGATGACGATTGTCATAACGTTCTGTTTTTTTTTCAGATAACCCACCATTCAGATGCCACATTGGAGACTGTGGCATGACTTTTTACCTGGAAAAGAATTTGGATAATCATCTGTGGAACCACAGCAAGAAGGTTTCTGTCTGTGACTATGAGGGATGCTCCAGAAAATTTGAGGATCAGCTTCAGCTGGCTAAACACAGCAAGTGTCACTATGGTGGGTTCATATTTAGATGTTAGGTTTAACTCTCTATGTCCTCGCCAGTTACATGGAAGGGCGTGGTAGCAAAGGAGCTTGGGGAACATCTTTGCTTCAAATCTGCATTGGGGTGGATTTTGTATCTTTGATCTGAGCTCCCATGTTGACCCTCACAGTCAAGATGAGGGTTCCGGGGCTCTATATGGGGGGAAAAGACTAGACATAGTACCCCCCTCACAAACATGTTGTAAAAGTCTACTAATTAGGAATGTTCCCTTCGAAGTTGGAGTGCCTCTGCCTGAGAGGTAAGGGACCAACAGTCTGTATACAAAAAACCAGAACTGTAAAACATTTAGACATACAAAGCTCAGGTTCTAGAACAAAAGTCCAGAAGTGGATGAAAAGCCAGAACTTCCTGATGAGTGGAAAGAAAACGAAGATCCTCATAGCATGAGAAGAGTGTTGCAGCAGGCATGGGCCTTATTAAATGGAGTACCCCACTGTGTCCTGAAAGAAAGTAGTCCTTACTGGAACCTAAATCAAATCACCTTTTATGACCAACAGTTGGTTCTTTCACAAAAAGTCACAATGGATATGGGCTATATGTACCCAGTTGAAGCCAAGAAGCACTGTTGTCACTCAGAATAGACTGATAACAGAAATACTGAATAAGAATTCAAGCAGCAAGTGGTTTTAGTCCCAGGACCTGGTTTGCTTTAGCACATCATAAGTTTATTTCTCTGTCCACCCTTCCTTCTGATGTGAAAATTGGTCCTAGAAATTTAATTAGTTTTATCTGGTAATTCTTCAGTACTGTAAATGTTTCTTTATTGCTGTTCCTTTTCAAATGATGTATAGAGGTACCCTCGGGTTTTGTTTATGTATATGGCCTCCATCAGTCATATTTGAAATTAAGTTCATGTGTCCAGAGAATAGAATCTTTGGTTCTTGTTCAGTATCCTACCCCAGATGATGTCACAGGACAGTCCAACATTTTGATGCTTTTAAAGACCCCAAAACATCTAGAACTCAACCTAACCCCAACCCACCTACGTCCCACAAGAGAGTGCAGCCTAAGCCCCACTGCTGCACGCAGCCTAGGTCCCACAACTGCTTGCTGCCTATCTACCACCCCCTGAAATATTAGACTGACCCGTGACTTGTGAATTTTCCCTGTTTGGGGTAGAATATTAAAATATTAAGAAAGCACCAAATATTGTCCTACTTATGTTGCATTTCTTTTGGCAGGTTCTTGTTTACATTTCATAATCTGTGGAAACCAGGGGAAATTCAAACCAGTACTGAACTTAGAATATTCAACTCAAACTCCCAATCAGTGCTGTTATGTGGGGCGAGGGCATGTAGAACTACAACACTTTCTAATGAATTGCATTACAAACCTTCATTAACTAGATAGGCTAGAAAACATACTTAGAAAACCTGATAATAAGGTGAATATCATGCTGGAACCCACAGGGCCAAAGAAATAAAGAAAGAGCAAATATCACTTCCAGAATAACAAGAGACAGAGATATATAATATGGGAAAGACACGGGTTGGTCGAGGTTCCTTATTCCATTAAAGGGTTAAAGGGTTAAGGGCACAAAAAGAAGAATGACTTGTTGTTTGTTGAACAGAGCCATTTTTTTTTTTTTTACATTTGAATCGCTGAAGAAATGTTGCATTTTATTTATCATTGGCAGATGGAAAGATGAAATGTCCTTGGCCAAACTGTGATAACTGGTTGACAGAAACTGGACACCTGAAACCTCATTTTGTTGCTCATAGTCGGTCTCTGAGAGCAAATTTAGACTCGGATTATGTCTGTGAGATCTGTGAACTTGCTTTCAACACTAAGTGGGGACTGATGATTCACAAGCGGATGCATGGCGAAGAAGCTGCAGGTTTGTTTCTGATAACCCTGTTGATAGTTCTTTTAGGAATGTAGTGTAACCTACTTTGATTTCTGACAGATTCTTGCATAACTTTATCTGAATCAGTGAGAGGAGGCGTAGACAAAGTGAAAAATAAAGGACCTTGAGCCATTGTTGCATTATGCAAATGCCGACATTTTCAACGTTTAAGACAATATGTTTTCCCATATTTGTTAAGGTTAAAATTGAAGGTTTTCATTCACGAAATGTGTTTAAAATATTTATTTCTTAATTTTGGGCTCAGAAGATAAGGTCTTTTACATGGGGGGTGTCTTATACATTTAAAAAATACGGTAGTGCCAGACTCGTCATTTTATACACACTTGATAGATGATGTGGTCACCATCATGTCTCAATGCAGACTCTAACCCAAGACCTCTCAGCTGGCAGGTGTCTAGGCACATTTTTCTCCATTATTTTTATTTGCCTGCTAGAAAGAATATATAAATAAATATAAATATATATATATATATATATACACATACAACTTGCTTTAACTGTGGTAGTCCTGAAACAATAATTTATTTTTTTGTTAACTTTTTCTGTGTCTGTCCTTAAAGGGTGGTTGGCACATTGTAGTTTACAGCTAGGCTGTCTTCTTCTGTGTGTTCACCACTTGTAAACTCTGATGGAAGGTTCTGGTTATTCATCCACTTCTGGACTTTAGCCTTGTTTCAGAACCTGAGTTTTGCATGCACACCTGTTTTACAAATGTGGCTCATTTGTATGCCTTCTGTTGGTTCCTCACCTCTCAGGCCGCTGCACTTCAACTTTGAAGGAAACACCCCTTTCTCCCCAGCATGCCTGATTTCAGCAAATCCTTAATTAGTCACCTTTTATGACATGCTTGCTGGAGGGTTGTGGTATGCTCCCCTCCCGTGGCCTTCACATGATAAACCATGTGCTTTGACTTTAGGGCCCTGAGAAAAAAATTAGTTAAATTGATTTTAGTAGTAATCAAATGTCGGCTCTGTGGCTAAGTAGATGCCAACGCTTCGTAATGCCGGGATCGATCCCAGCTGCGGGCCATGCGCCCTGCGTTTATTTCGACAGTAGTATCAAGAAAGCCGACCGTCCATAAAGCAAACTACTGGACGTAAATTTGCCTCGAAAAACCACACAACAGCCAGGGGCTGTTGGGGTTGGTTCTGCAACGTCCTGCAAAGGACACGCAACTAACCTAGTAATCAAACAATAATAATGTCTATTTGTCTCTTACAGCAAAGCCATCTTTGTCTCGACTGGTCAAATTTGCTTGTGAGGAAGATGGATGCCAGGCCACTTTTGCTGACCAGAAGGGATTTTTTGACCATTTCCTCTTTCACTACACCAACATACCAGCAAGTTGTCATAATAATGGGTGCACAGAAAGCTTTCGTAACATGATCACAATGTCCAGACATACAAAGTGTCACTTTGGTAAGAAATTCATGTTTTTGTTTGTTCAGCAGTTTTTCAGTGTGTCTTGTTAAAAAAGGTTTTTAAAGAAGGAATAAATCTGATACCAAAGAATGACACAAGAGAAATGTTTCTTGATTAGTACACTTATGATGTAGTGCTATAGTTGTGTCTCATTCCTTGCAAACATTCTGTTTAAAGCTCTTATAAAATAGTCCGCCTTCCTAATTTTTATCTTTTTATATAATTTGCTCTGTCTCTGTTAATAAATTAATTCTTTCATAAACATTACGTCTTTGTTCTCAAAAAGAAGAGTGGAGAAATCACCCCCTTTCCCAATAACTTAACCAACCCGTCCCAGTATTTGTAGAAGTACACACATTTTTCTTTGTATTCCTCTTTTTCATTGTTCCCTTGAGTGACATAATTTGTGTTCTGCCTGTTAACAGTATAGCTGTAGTATTAGGCATCCAACAACATCGGGAAATCATGGAAATCACTACCATGGAAATAAACCTTTCATCTTCAACTGTAAATTAAAACCTGGAGACAGTAGTGTATTTCAAATCCTGATCTTTAATAGTCAAAACTGTAGGATATTAAAATTAACTATGCCCCTGAATCTTTCCAACACCCCACGGAGGATGGATTTTAGAGTATATTTAATTTAAGATTTTTGAAAAGTGGATTTTTTGGGTAAAGTAATTTTTTTTTTATTAACGTTTAATATTCTCTCTGGAAGTGTCAGTTGAGACAAAAGCCATGGCTAAATTACATCAAGAGACACTAGACTAGATGGTTCAGACATTTGTCAAGACTACCACAGGTGAGCCATTTTACTAAAATGCAACAGGCAGAGCTAGAGGTCACCAATGAAAATTTTGGATAGATGGAATATCTGAGGTCGTGATTACGAACATCTTTGGGTCACACATACCAAGGCTTACATCTGTTTCCTTTTCAACATCTGACACCGAAAGGCAGAACAGGCTAAAGAAGAAAAGACAATATAAGTGAAAGTAATCACTGTGACAGAATGAGTGAATGAATCCAGAACTGAAATAACTGCACTCGAGTTATTCCCACATATGCTCCGGGTTTTTCTCATATATGCTCAGTCTCCTTCCTCCGTAGCCAACGACAAGTTTGCGTTAATAGTTCCAGTTGCAAGCTGATTAAGAGTCTGCCTGTATCCCCCTTCAGTGTTCAATAGACAGACCCCCCCCCCCTTTCCCTTCTGTTGAACAAGTCTTACATTGTATGCATTTTCTGTCTGTTCCACTGCACTGTCCATTTGATTCAAGAGAGCCTTCAGCACGACCGCTTTATCTTAAAGTAGCTCCCCCCTTGAGGAGCGGCAGCAGTCAGTCTGCAGCATGCTCATTACTGACACACCTGAATGTCCTGGACAGAAATTCCTGGTTTCATTGTTATGAACTGTCCCAGATACAATAATATCAAGGCAAAACTTTTGGCCAAAAGATGCATCAGTGCAAAATATTTTACTGGTCGCTGAGTGAATTACAAAAGACAGTGAATTACAAAAGACAGTGAATTACAAAAGACAGTGAATTACAAAAGACAGTGAAGTTCATACTAGAGACAACATTACAGATATAGATAATCCATTTCAAGCGAACGAAAGAAAAAGAAGATTGTAATGAGAGAATGAGTTAACTAAGAACCGGCTTAAATTGATGGTGTTTTTCTTGTATTCAGCTATATTTATTGTAAATATTAACAAATTTAATGTTTTTAAATTTCTTTTTTATTCATTAGATGGGAAATATAAATGTCCGTGGCAAGGATGTGCAAAGTTATTTGCGTCCATGTTCATCGTCAAGAAGCATCTTTACCGCCACATCATGTCCAATCCTGTGGTCGCCAGCAGCAGGCCATATTCCTGCACCCAGTGTTTCATGGTTTTCAAGTCAGAGAGAAACCATTTCAGTCATCAGGAGTACCACAATGAAAAGTCAGGTTAGAATTTTCAAGAGTTTTTGAGCAGCTGCCGAAATAATTGTTTGAGAAAAGTATTCTTCCTTCTACTTCTTCTTCACATCCTCTTTCACCACTTCGATACAAGTGTCAAAGGGGAGGTATAAATTTCTGCTTCTTGCTCTTCTCAATGCAACCATAGACACATTGTACTGTTGATGTGTTTCCCTGATGTTATCTTTCAAAGTATTCAGCTCTCAAAACTACAGAATGTCACTTTTTGAAATCAATAATTCACATTGCTTACCGCAGGATGCCAATATTTCAGGCCAGTAATTCCAAGTGTTTGTGACAGGATGCCAGTGTTTCAAGCCAATAATTCCAAGTGTTTGTGACAGGATGCCAGTATTTCAGGCTAGTAATTCCAAGTGATTGTGTCAGGATGCCAGTATTTCAGGCCAGTAATTCCAAGGGTTTGTGACAGGATGCCAGTATTTCAGGCCAATAATTCCAAGTGTTTGTGACAGGATGGCAGTATTTCAGGCTCCAAGTGTTTGTGACAGGATGCCAGTATTTCAGGCCAATAATTCCAAGTGTTTGTGACAGGATGCCAATATTTCAGGCCAGTAATTCCAAGTTTTTGTGACAGGATGCCAGTATTTCAGGCTCCAAGTGTTTGTGACAGGATGCCAGTATTTCAGGCCAATAATTCCAAGTGTTTGCGACAGGATGCCAATATTTCAGGCCAATAATTCCAAGTGTTTGTGACAGGATGCCAGTATTTCAGGCCAATAATTCCAAGTGTTTGTGACAGGATGCCAGTATTTCAGGCCAATAATTCCAAGTGTTTGTGACAGGATGCCAATATTTCAGGCCAATAATTCCAAGTGTTTGTGACAGGATGCCAATATTTCAGGCCAGTAATTACAAGTGTTTGTGACAGGATGCCAGTATTTCAGGCCAATAATTCCAGTTGTTTGTGACAGGATGCCAATATTTCAGGCCAGTATTTCCAAGTGTTTGTGACAGGATGCCAGTATTTCAAGCCAGTAATTCCAAGTGTTTGTGACAGGATGCCAGTATTTCAGGCTAGTAATTCCAAGTGATTGTGACAGGATGCCAGTATTTCAGGCCAATAATTCCAAGTGATTGTGACAGGATGGCATTATTTCAGGCCAGTAATTCCAAGTGTTTGTGACGGGATGGCAGTATTTCATGCCAATAATTCCAAGTGTTTGTGTCCTGGTACCCTTCTAAGGCTGTGTTGACCCTAGAAGTTGCTAAAAATCTGTCTCTATAGGGATTCAGACACATGACATCTGGGTCAGTAGGCAAGAGTGCTGGTCCCTCTGTTACCTTTGGTCCCTCCATATGAATAACTGTTTACCACTGTTTATTTTAAGAATAACACTTATTTTAATCATCTTAATCTCCTTGAGTGGGTTCCTGGGGAGCTCCATTTCGGCGGAAGCGGGGAGGAAAGACCCCTGCCACCTAACAAACATGTGGTAAAAGGCATCAAATTAGGATTTTACTGAAATGATATGTGTTAAGCAGATATCACAGCCTAGCTGTAGACCACAACACAGTTTGCCAACCGCTCTCTTAAGGGCAAATGCAGATTAGCAAGAAAAAGAAGGGTGAAAGAAGAAGAAAAATAAATCTTTATCCAATGACAGATTTATACTAATTTTCAGAATTTGTTAATTTTTTTTTTTTTTTTTTTTTATTTTATGCAAATAGCCGAATTTAAGTGTTTCTATGCTCTGCTTTCTCTGCAGATTACGTCTGCCCAACCTGTGGCAAGAAGGGACATCACAACCATATGAAGAATCACAGATCTGACAACAAACCTCGTAAGCCTCAGGAGTGCCAACAGTGTGGTGCTCGCTATGCTACAGTTAGTGGGCTCAAGTTTCATCTTCTGCAAAAACATAAAATAGGTATGTTGTTTTTGTATCAACATCATCATCGAGCGGCTTGCCAACATGTAAGAACAGAAATGCTTTTTATATACTTAAGTGAGTGGGTGAGTGACGTTAAACCCTGCCAGAACCACACAATGAGCAATAAACACCTGATAACAGAAAGTGCCACCATTCGGTTGAGAATCACCCAGGCACAAGTCCAGGAAACCCCGTTCAGTCTTTAGGTTATATTAGGGCCCCTGACGACAGCAGGGTTAGGACTTTTAAATAACCACACACAAAAATTCATCCCATATTGTGGCGAACAAAATTATTTCTCAAATCGTTAAGAGGTGAGTTGCCTTTATGAATTCTGTAATTCAGACTGTTAACATTTAATTAAAATTAAAGATTGTACAGTCCCCACAGTGTCTGTGTCAAACAGGACCACAAACACCTGAGCACATTCTGCAGACCTGCCCACTCTATCTACAACTTTGAAAAGACACCTGGCCTTAAGAGCAAAGTGTGCAGAGCAAGCTATGGGGAACCATGAAGGACCTGCTGCTGACATGCGAATTTATAGACCACCCACCTGATGGTCTGATCTGAGCATACGAAACCGAACGCAAATAAGAAGAAGAATCCCATCTTCAGTATCTCCCTTAGTGTGTGTCGACTGAGAACACCAGTTCTATCTTGGTTCACTGTTATTCTTTGGCTGCATGTATAGTGTTTATTTCTGGTGACATCTTTTTTGGCATGAAGTTCTTGTAGTCTTGTCGAGGTTGCGGATCAACTGTCTTCTCCTGAATCATTTACTCATTCTGCCTTCTTGAGAACATTGAGAACATCAGCTTGTCCATTGCTTTTCCGGTGACTACCATTGCCCTGCCACCAAGCCAGTCAGCTTGTTCATTTTATGTGTGCATGTGGTGTAATGATGTTGAAGAATTATTACTGCTTTTAGTCTCGGTCCCATCTTGTTCTGTAGAATAATGTGGCTGACATATCTGTTGTGGTACCTTCATAAAGCATCTTACATTTGATATGGAACATCCAAACATCATTTACACAGATGGATCCATGAAGCGCAGGTTAAGATCAGCATGGGCATGCACAGCAAAAAGGATGGGGAAACCAATAAAAGAGTGGTGCTTACCATACGATTATGTTAAGCATACCTATGGAGATAACTTCTACTTCCAGAGCACTCGCATGGGCAGCAGAACAAGTGACCACATATGCGGTAATCATTTCAGACTCTATGAACATGCTTCAGAAAATCGCCTATGGTAGGCTACGCTCCGAATGGGTAGAAAGCATTTGGAAGTCGCAGTTAACCCCCATCATCTGGATCTACACACCTGGGTATGCAGGAGTAAACATCAACACTGTACGGACTAGGTTGGGGATCATATTGAATCTCTGGCGCTAACATGATTGCCTGACCGAGAAGCATGTCTATACTGTCTTCGAGGTTAAGACAGGAGATGCTATAATCAGCTTCTCATTGGAACAATCAGTAGAGGTACCTTGGAGTGGCTGCTGCATTGGTGGATTGAGCATGCATGGGTGCAAAGACCTCAATTGTAATAACATAGCATGGAACATTGTGTCATATTGTTCTTTTTTCTTATTGAGCTCCAGTTTTAAATGCCTGAATCTGTTTATAAAATTGCAGGCAATTGGCCCTTCCGGTGCATGTATTGTAGCAAAGGTTTTGTCAGCAGCCGAGAGATGCAGCGACATATTCCATTGCATACCAAAGAAAAACCATTTAGATGTGAAATCTGTGGGGCCAGCTTTGCCTCTCACACAGGTCACAGGGCACACATGAGGAAACATACAGGTAATGCCTAAAATATTACCTGTTTGTTTTAAAAACAAATTATTATTTTTTGGTGCCTGAAGAAATTATGAGAAATAGTTATGTAGATTAAACAAGTTACAATATTTATTGAAGGGCCTACTTATCTAGCGGTGTCCATGGCTTTGACGTTGCGAGTCCGGCTTGTAATTGCAATGTACCGTGAACGAAACGTACTTCTAGCTGCGTGGATTTTTATCATGGTATGGGGCGTTGCAGGTCGACCCAGCCTAAAATGGGTACCAGGATGTATGTAATGGAAAAGTAAAGACGGCCGGCGTAATGCTGACCACATTACCCACCTAGTGCTGATTGGTCTGAAAAATGTTTTTGCTCTTCCCATATGCCTGATGCGACTGAAGGCGTAAAAATGGATCTTTCCTTTTTGTTTACTTTTAATACTTATGTGATTTTTTTTTTGTAATATTATTTTTTTTTTGTTTTCCCTCCAGGATTGCAGTCTGTAGAATGAATATCTCAATAATTAAAATCAGGCAGGTATAAATCCCGGAAAGTCCATTCAGCATATAGCCATAAATGATGATGAGGAGCTACCTCTTGATCTTATTCTATAAGATAATTGTGATCAAAAGTCTAGAGAATCAATTTCATTGCACAGGGCGTTGTTCCATGTGGTTTCTGGCTCTCTATGTAGACAGACTAGCTGCATATCAAGAACATAGAACAAGGCACAAACTCTGTAGCTCCAGCAATGGTCTCCAGGGATCTCCATAGAAATTGTGAACTGGGCAATTGGCCCATGAAACAAATTCACGACCTTTAGAGCTCAAGATAAATGTCTTTGCCACGGAGACTCTGCAATAATTTTGATGTAATACTCTAGTTTATAAAATAGATATGGTCTTCCATTAAAATGTCATTGTAAAATAGGCAACTTTTCTGTGTTTTGGGGTCCTTTTTGAGAAGCAAAGATAGTAACGTAACACTGATACCTACCAGCTAAGTCCCCAGAGTTGACTTAGGGTTACTCTGGGGATGGCTACCACATTCTATTTAAAAAAACTGCAGTTGTAAAAGCTAATTTACTATGAATGTGTTGGCCTATGTTACTTGAGGGCCTATGCTCCATTTAGGGATAAAAAGCATAAGAATGAATGTTGAAAGTTAAAGGTTCAATTAAGAATCAACATCACAGGACTCGGGACACCCCCATAATCGCTCCCTCCCTATCTTCAGCAGCAAATGAAGAGTTGTCATTCCGATGGCACCAGTAACTGTCTGACTGTATATCCGTCTTACTCTTCACCTGTTTAGTGACTGCCAGATCTCCTGGTAACTCCTCGCAGCGCAATTCTCCTCAGACTGTAATGATCTATTTATGCCTCTGCACTAACTCGCTCCAAAAGGGCCCTTACAATATTTAGCTTGTCATACATCAATTCACCACCAAGTGGTGCAGAGCTGGCGAGTCTGTCTGCCTGCTCATTTCCTAACACACAAGCGTGACCTGGAGAAAATATACAAAGGATGCTAACTACTTGGGACCTCTAAAGTGATGCTTGCCACTCTGCACGGAGCATGCCTGTCTCCACCTTTCTCAACATGCTCTGTGGGTCACTTACAACCTCAGCATTTGTGTACAGCTGATTCTCTAACCAGCGGAAGGACTGCCTCCACCTCCATTCTCAAACTAGATATGCATAAGAAAAATATGTAACATAATTACATATAGAAGGAGATAATATAAGAAAATATGTAACTGTTAATCACATCTAGAAGGAGACAACATGAAAATATGTATTTGGTAATCACATCTAGAAGGAAACAACATAAGAAAAAATATATAGCTGTTAATTACATGTAGAAGGAGATAACGAAAAATATGTAATTGTTAATTATATGTAGGAGACAACATCAGAAAAATATGTAACTTAATTACATGAAGAAGGAAACAATATAAGAAAGATATATAACTATTAATTACATGTAGTATGAGACAATCTACATTCTTTGGTCATGTCACGAAATGTTGAAAACTGGAGTACATCGTTATGGTGGGAAAATTGTAGTGGAAATGAGGCCAAAGGAGCCCAGGAGAGAAGTTGCTGCACAGTTTAACATCAAGACATGGAAGATCATATGTATCAGAATTGACTGAAAGCTTATGAGACAGAGGGTTGTGGATAGACATGACTACCTTTTGGCATGGACTAGGAAGAATGAACCTGAAGAAGAATTTCACCTGACTAGACCAGTAGTTTTCAGCCTTTTTCAGGTTCCCCCCCCCCCCTTTTTTTTCAAAAATCTTTATTTTATACTTTAAATGTGAGTACAAAGAAGAGGACAAAAATTTGAAATTCTAACTTGGAGAAAAACGTCAACATAAACTCACAGAGCAAGTTGAGAAAGGTGGAGACAGGCATGTTCTGTGCGGAGTGGCAAGCATCAAAGGTCCCAGGTAGTTAGCATCCTTTGGATATTTTCTCCAGGTTATACCGGTGTGTTGGGAAATGAGCAGGCAGATAGACTGGCTGGTTCTGCACCACTTGGTGGTGAACTGATGTGTGACAAGCTGAATGTTGTGAGGGCCCTTTGGGAGAGAGTAAACAGTGCCGAGGAACAGATAGATTATTACGGTCTGAGGAGAATGGCACTGCGAGGAGTTACAAGGGGATCTGGCCGATGCTCGACACTCAGGAGAAAGGCGAGACGGATAAACAATCAGACAGTTACTGGTACCATCAGAATTTTTACTCTTTGCTTGCTGCTGAAGATGGGGATTGAGCGCTTATGGGGGTGTCCCGAGTGCTGTGACCACAAATAAAAATCCCAACTAAAAGGGAAACGTCAACATAAATCCAAGTGTCAAATAACAAAAGAAACAATCACCGAACAACATAAAAGTAACAGTCAACGTACAACTGGTAATTAAGTGTCCAAATTTCACTGTGGTTGTTGACACTGTTTTCTTGCTAATATCTGCTGTACAGACTGCACATGAAAACCAAAACAGCTTTGTCTTTTTGTTTTATAAATAGTTTAAAAAGCTTAAACGATATTGTGTTAATAGTTAAACTTAAAAACATGTGAGCCTAACAGATTATTACGAGTACAGATACACTCAGTTTAAAAATTGCTTGATCCCCACCCCCATCTTTAAACTTCCTTGCACCCCTCTTTGAGGGAGGCGGGTCACTATCTCCTATGTTCAGAACCACTGAGCTCGACTGTTGACATTTTCAGGTGAGAGGTATGCTTGTGATGTGGAAGGGTGTGGGAAAGTCTACACCACTCCAATTTCTCTCCGGGGACACAAAGCACAGCATGCAGGATTCAGCAAGACCTGCCACTACTGTTTTAAGACCTACAAGAATCCTTACAGGCACAAATGTAAAGCTAGCCGAGAGAGCAGATTGAAGATAGCCAAACTGGGTAAGTCATTATCATCACGGTCTCTTGCCTCGAGGTTATGTTATCACAGCCAACGTTACTGCACATTGTGCATTCCCATGCGTACTCGGTCGTCCGATGCGGCAGCCACTCCAAGGTACCTCTGCTGATTGTTCCCATGAGGGGCTGGTTATAATTGTCTCCTGTCTCTGCCTCGAAGACAGTATAGACATGCTTCACCATGCTTTGCCCCCCAAGTCATGCAATCTTGTTAGTGTCAGAGATTCGCAATGAGTAAAGGACCCTTTTACGCTCATTGGCACATCAGACAGTGGTGCTGCCAATATGTTTTTATAGATGGAGTACTCAATGGGAATAGATATTAGATGGAGACACACACAAAAATAAAAAGCAACAGAAGGAGAAGATACTGCTAAAGTAGGTAGGTCCTGGGTTCGGGTCCTGACAGAGCTGGTTTTTTTTTTTAAATGACCTTGGCTTTCAGGTCAACCCATCCTTGAGTGGGTACCAGATTCAGTCTAGGAAGTAAAGATGGCCGGCATAATGCTGACCACATCTCCACCCAGGGCCGATTGGTTTATAAAATAAAGCTCTAGCCCTTTGTGCCTGATGGTGTGAAAAAAGGGTCCTTTACTTACTTTACATTTCATCAGGCATATGATGCAAGACCCAGATTTATGCAGACCAATAAGCGCTCAGTGAATAATGGGATCAACCTTTTGCTGGATGTCTTTACTTCCCAGAACTTTCTTTTCTAGGCCAGATCAACATGAGAGCCAAGGTCAATTATAAAAATCCACCTTGGTGCAGACTCAGAGTCAAAACCTTTAGGTCACCAGGCAAGTATCTGACCATGAGCTACCACAGTTCTCAATTTTTAAAATTTTTTTTTAAACTTTACACTTATCCAAGAAGGTTAGGCATCTGATCTACTGAGCAGGGACTAAAAAAAGATAATTTCCTTGAGTTGCTTACTTTCAAAATGTCATACTTACTAATATGTACTAACACCTTCTTCAATCTTTTCAGAACAAAACCAGAATGTGAGACCCTCAGTCTCTCTAATGGCACCTGCTTTATCCCATCCAGCACCACCGCCGCCACAGTCTCAGCCATCATTGGTGTCTCTAGCCCCAGCTATGATACCGGCCAGCACCACCTTGCAGCATGCAGTCATCATGCCTCAAGATGGGGTGGCTCACCCTGTTGAGGTCCAGCAGGCCGCCAGAGCAATCATGGCCCCAAACACTCTGACCCACTCTCATGTGATGCCTCACAGCTTTGCTCCGGGCCTGTCCCAGGGCATGCAGCAGGCTCTACCCCATGGCTTGGCTGGTCAGGGCATGATGCAACCGGACAGAGGGCAGCCTGGCCCTATGGACATGACCAGAGGAGCTTCCATGGACTTGGCAGCAGACTACACTTTCAGTAATTATGTTGTTTTCTGGGACAGCCAAAACAATTCTTAGAATTTACTACAAAAGTGTAAAGTCCAGAGGATTAACTTCATTGCACCAGGTTCCCCGTGTGGGTGCCGGGGCTCTATTATGGAAAAATCAAGAAAAGACCCACCATCTACCCAAAAGCAGGTCATAAGAGTTGACTAATTGGGAGCTTCCTTCGAAATCAGGGTGTATCTTTCTGAGAGGCAAAGAACCAGCAGTCTGCGTACATATGTAAAATGGATGTGCATGCAACACTCAGGTTCTGGAACAGGGCTAGAGTCCAGAAGTGGACGAATAACCAAAACTTTCTGCCAGAGTTTACAGCCAGTGCACCAGAATGGGGACCCTGGAACCCACACAGGGGAATCTAGTGTCGACTGCCTTCCTAACAAAATATGTCATAAGAGTTGGTCAATATAAAGGCAAGGGAACCAATAGTCTGCATACAAATGAGTCAAATCTGTAAAACGGATGTGCACGCAACACTCAGGTTCTGGAACAGGAATGCAGTCCTGAAGTGGACGAACAACCTATAACTTTCCAACATAGTTTACAGCTGGTAAACACGATGAAGGAGAATAAAATGGTTTGCTCATCTCATTAAAAGGCAGCCGCAACAACTACCTGTACAGGCACTACATCTAAGACTAATTTGAAATAAAACCAAGAGGGTAAGCAAGGAGCAGAAGGGGGTGATGCCAGTAAGGACATTCTACATCCACACAGAATAACAGTAGCCAGTACTACTCGTTGAGCAGTGGATCGCAAAGTTTTCTTTCTCAATGCACTTCACAGCAGAACTGGAAATGGATGATGATGATTAATTTAGTCATCCATGACATTGTTTTCTTTGACGTCTCAAATGATCATAATTTCTCTTTGTTTTCTGTGCTCGTCATTTTTGTTTTGTTTTACAGTGTTTACAAATGTAGTGTGCAAGATTAATGTGTTAGTAAACCCAATCAAAACAGAAATAAATTGTTGTGTAATTTAAGGTAAGCAGTTTGTCTTCATTTAACTTGTGCGTGTTTATTCATCTGTGTGTTTCATGATCTTTTTGGAACCCCTTCCCCCCAAAGTAATTCCAGTGAAATTTGACTAAAAAGCTTAACCATATGGGGAAGCAGAAAACATGCAAACACAAAAAAATGTTTCGGCCAGCAGCCTTTGTCAAACATAAAGTGAACTACACAAAGTTAGAGGAGAGCTGAAATGCTATTTGTGTTGTTTTGGACACCTCTGACCTAAATTGTCAGTCACCATACGCTGCGATTCGCATTAACCATTTGGTTAAACTCTTTAGTCAAATTTAACTGGAATTCCTTGTATTAGCTTGACTGCAGTCACCCCCATATTTTCTCCCCCAAAAAGTAGAAGGGCTCACAGGAAGCATCATGTCTCAAAAATTGAATTCTTCATCTTCTGCTTATTCTACCCTGTATCCCCCAATGGAGCATAGGCCCTCCAACCAACTCTCGCCAAATCATCCTATCATTTGCCATTGCATGCACCTCATTTATTTCCTCCCTTATTTTTTTTTTCAACTAGCTCATTCTCCCTGCATTTTTTGGTCTGCTTTAATTTCTATGTCCTCGTGGGTTCTGGTGCGATGACATTCTTGTTATATGTTCTCAGGTTTTGTCAATGTATGTCCTATTTAATGCCAGGTCTTTTCTTCACCCCTTGATTCGCTAGAATTTGTTTGATTCACTCCCAAAGCTCATCATTAGTGATTCTATCACACCATTTACTTTGGCAATATTAATTAAACATCACAGTTTCTTACAAATAACAGTAATTAAAGGCACAGTTCCTGAAAGAAGAGGCAGGGATCAACCACCATAAAGGTGGGTGGGTACAGACATAAATGACGAATTCTTTATGGAAATTACCGAGGCAGATGTGATTGCAAAAGATAGTAATATTGTCGGACATTTTCAAACTGTTATTGTGATGTCGCCATGTACGTCTGCACTGTGATGCCACATGCTTAAACACTCTAGACATCCTTAACAATAATATTGACAGTTTACAGAAAATGACGTGGTTATTGTAATTTCTGTCAGTGTCTTTCTTGTTTTGTCTTTTTTGAATTGCTGCTGCTATCATATAGTCCGCATGCCTGACCACCGGCTGCCAAAAAAAAAAAAGAATTTTATATGATGAGCTACTAAAAAAGAAACGATCTAAATGTGGACAGAAGAAACGTTTCGATGACATCCTCAAGACCTCACTGAAAGACTTCTGTATTGATCCTAAAACCTGGGAAGTCGCTACATGTGACCGCTCATTCTGGCGCTGCTCTCTTTGTCTAGGAGCTGTGGCCCAGGAAGCAGCTTGAACACCTCTGACTTAAATTGTCAGTCACCATACGCTGCGATTCCTATTGTTTTGCTTGTTTACCGTTTTGCTGAAGAAAAAAAAATCGACACGTTCATCCAGCATCCCCGAAGGGGGAAGCTTTTGGTTATAACGATGATTAGGTTTATGTGCGCCATATAAAATGGTTAAGCATTGCTCGCAACCAAGTAGCCCTGAAAAGTACTCCTGCAGTGTTGATGCGATCGAGGGAGACAGACCCAAATACTGTCCCGACCGGCAAGCCAATGAACGACCTGGTCGATGATGTCCTATTGCCTTCCTGTAGCACAATATACACCACGATCATCCGGAAAGACGGGAACATGCTAACGAAAGAAAAATGAAATAGTGGTGATATCCGAAGGCGTAGACAGTTCGGTGCTCTCTTAATATCCTACCCCAAACGGTGGAAATCCACAGATCACGCGACAGTCTTATTTCAGGGGGTGGTAGATAGGCTGCATGCAGTCGTGGGACCTATGCTGCACTCTTTCGTTGGATGTAGGTGGGTTGAGATTAGGACCAATTCTAGATTTTGTTGGGTTGTTAAAAGCATCAGAAAGCCGGGAAACCCAGTCTTACCACACTCTAAAATGTTGGACTGTCCTGTGACGTAATCTGGGGTAGGATATTACCAAAGAACCGAGATAAACTAATGCCGAACTTACAGCCGCAGAGCGCTCGAGTAAATACTGAATGCCGGAAGGTTGTCGGGTGCGCAACGTTAATATAAAGAAAAAAGAGACCCTTCTCCAATTGTCAGGGCGCAGTGATGCAGTTCACTGTGATATTTTTTATTAACACGGTTAAATATTTTCGGCAAATGAGCCATAAGTAAGTACAGTAAAGAACCCTTTTCTTCGCCTGTATGTGTATTGAGCATATAGGGGTTAGACCTATATTTTTAGAACAATCTCCATCACGCCGGCTGTCTTTATTTCACAGGAATGCACCTGGTACCCATTTAAGGCTAGGTCGACCTGGGAGCCAAGGTCATGTTTGAAAAAGGTCTGGCTCCGTCAGGACCCGAACCCACGACCTTCCGATCCGCAGGCGAGAGTCTAGCCGCTACACCACGATACACCCTAAGTGAACGATGTTCTCCATTAAACATTAGTTCAGTCTTTACTATATCGAAAGACTTTGAAGGGGTCTCAAGAAGGCTAGTAAGCCAACGACGAACTGGTGTAATCATTCATCACAAGCTAGGGAACATACTGAGTACTTCAAAGCAGTGGGAATGTTGAATTAAGAATCGACATCATAGCACTTGGGACACTCCCATAAGCGCTCGTCCCCATCTTCAACAGCAAACGAAGAATTCCAATTCCGATGGCACCAGTAACTGTCTGATTGTATATCCGTCTCGCCTTTCCCTTGAGTGTTGAGCACCGGCCAAATCCCATGGCAACTCCTCGCAGCGCCATTCTCCTCAGACCGTAATGGTCCATTTGTGCTTTCGCACTGTTCACTCTTTCCCAGAGGGCCCTCACAACGTCTAGATTGCCATACATCAGTTCACCACCAATTGGTGCAGAACTCGCCAGTCTATCTTCCTGCTCATTTCCCAACACACCGGCACGACCCGGAGAGAGTATCCAAAGGATGCTTGCCACTATGCATACCCATGCACTTCCTCTGCCCCTCAACACAGAGCCATCTGTATAGATAATCACCTCACTTGGGCGGAAATTGTCATAAATCATTTGTTGAACTTCGCATGAATTTTACTGTTCCATATAGCTTATTATATTAATATTAATAGGAATGCCAACTGGCCAAACATGGAATCTCTCTACTGCACGCAGATAGTATATTTATAGCATATTTTCAGTATTCTGGGGTGCCTGTCCACAAACGTAAAGTTATGAATCCCAAATCTTGAATTACTATCCAATGTCCCCTAACGAGCATGTCGCACGATAAGAGTCATCTAACTAGTGACGTTTCCTTTGAAGTCGCAGTGCAAAAGGCTGAAAGTCGAGGATCAAACAGTTCTGCATAAAAATAAGCCAGATCTGTAAAACGGATGTGCACGCAAAACTCAGTTTCAGGAAGAAGATTAAAGTCTAGAAGTGGGTGAACAATCATAACTTTGCACTGGAGTTTACAGCCGGTGAATGTGAAGAATAAGAATTTCGTGTACATATATATACGGCTACAGCCTGTTGTGCCAAATATATTGTTATGGGATAAAATACATGTTGATCAATTTTGCGACATCTCCTCGTGAAAATCCCGGCACTTCCGGTGTGTCGTATTTGTGGTGATTGCTGTCGTCTGGTTCTAACGCTGGATTCTGACATCCTCCAGTGTGAATTTATTTTACTTTTGTTTCAAGGAAACTGTCGGACAGAACAATAAATACAATGGAGACTACAAGTGACGGAAAGATCAAGATGCCTCGGGTGGCAAAGGTATGTCAGGTTAACTGTTAACTTAACAAAAGAAGCTGCTAATATTTTAAAAATCAAATTAAATCTGTCAGTTCTGTTCTGTAATCAACACAACACAAAATGAAAATGTAAGACTTGGTGATTAGTGAAGTGTGAGCATGAAATCCAGATAAAAACGTTTAAAAATACAAATTTAATCAACGGCACCCCATTCTATTTAATGCTGTTTCTAGTTCCATCCTATGGTAAATATATGCTTTGCATAATGTATTAATTAATACTATTCTGGCTCTCCATAGGTACTTTCTTTAGTCAAATTTTCAAAATGCCCTCTACACCAATAAAACCAGCACAGTTAGATAGCTGTAAACAATCTCTTTCCAACGGTACCTCATTTAAGGTTGTATGTCATTTCTGAGCTGAGATATGTAGGTTTTTGTGGAGATGAGATGTCACAAACAGCTGTTGAAAACTTGCGTCCCAGAAACAAGAAAGTATGATTAATATTTAATAAAAAGACATGGACAGAGCGCATTTGTTAACTTTCAAGTATGATGAAGAAATGAACTTGAGTAAAATTTGAACAGTTGGCAGATGTTAAAAAAATATTGTTAACACTGCCACTATGGTTTGGTCAACTTACTGCCAGCAAAACATTTATGGCTATCCGAATAACGGTTCAAAATTTTCGAGGCGGAAAATATACCCTAACAGGGCCTCAGTCACGTGTCAATTGCGCACTTCTGGGGACTGTAACGCCACCGCCGATTTGTGAACCTCCGGCGACTCACGAGCAAATAAAATGAAAGGAGATGCGGTAGCTGCTGCTCGTGAATCCCAGCCATCTAGTTTAGCCACAATCCACGCGGCATGGGGGATACTCTCGGCGGAAGTCGTCGGAAGTGCGCAATCAACACGTGACTGAGACCCTGTTAGGGTTTCTTTTCCGCCTCGATAATTTAGGACCTTTATTCGGAGGATAGCCACAATTATTAACATAACCGATGATTATCACAACAAGGGTTAGTGACCTTAGTGGCAATTTAATTTTTAAATAGATGCATATACTACCTACCTTGGTGTAGATGTTTAAAGTTACAGATATCAGTTTCTTTGCACGTTTTTGTCCTGTTTAAGTATTGAGTATAGCTCATTCTGTAAAGAGCATCTCACGAAGCTTGCAACTATCTACAATCATAATGGCAACTTCCATGAATCTCAAAAGTCTGCAGACAAACACACAACCTACAATGGGGATGCAGTTGGCTCAACCACATCAGAGCTGATCAGACCTCCAGCAATGTTTATAGTTCTTTAGTGATCAGTTTCGACAAGGACATTATTTTCATTGACCATGGCAACAATAATTAACATCACAGCTACAAAGATGTTCATGGTTAGTATCCTCAATCATTATTGACATTATCCTTGTCAAACAATAGCAACATCTGAATCTTCTTCTTCGTGTTCACCAGCTGGCCACTGCAGCGAAAAAGTTATGGTTGTTCATCCATCTCCAGACTTTAATCTTGTTCCAGAATCCAAGAATTGCGTGCACATCTATTTTTATAAATTTTTACAGATCTGACCCATTTGTGTGCAGACTTGGTGTTTTGTCTCTCAGACAGGCATATTCCAGTTTCAAAGGATTCCCCCCAGTTAGTCGACTCCTGCGACATGCTTCTTGGGAAAGCAGTGGAACAGCCTTCATCAGCTTGCATCACAAACATACAATTATAAATAAATTTAAGAACCCTTTTCCCTTCCTTTCAAGCCTATTGGGCATATAGGTCTAGATTTGTATTTTATAGACCAATCAGCACTCAGGAGGTGATGTGGTCAGTATCACGCTGACCACCTGTACTTCCCAGGACTTTACCTGGTATGCATTTAAGGCTCAGTCGACCTGGGAGCCAAGGTCATTTTTGAAAAAAGTCCAGTTCCATTCGGACATGAACCCACAACACCAGGGTCTACAGGTGCACATCTGGTCGCTACACAACAGCTGCTTCCTAACGTACAATTATTAATTTTGTATATATACATAAAATCACTTGTCTTTTATGGTGAGGTCTGTGGCTTAGGAGTTGCAAATGCGCTTCTTAATTCTAAGAGGCTGGCTTTGATCCCAGCTGCGGGTGATTTTGCAGCAAACCACCTTGCATTTGCTTCAACAGTGGAATCGAAAATCGACCGTTCGGAAAGCACAAAAAATACTGGTGTTGGTTCTGCAGCAGCCTGAAAAGGACAGGCAACCAACTTATCTTAATTTTAGCATTTCCAGCAGTTCTTTCTATTATTATCTTTCATTCTTTTCTAAAAATGTTTCTATGTTTGCTATTTCTTTATGCCTAATGGGTTTTTATGTCTGCTATTTATTTTGCCTAATGGGTTCCAATTTCTCATTTTATTGTCATTAAGTTTTCTCATTGCATGTCTCATTCGGCTTCAGCATCCTACCTTTACTTCTTGATTTGCTTGTATAGTGCATTCCAAAAGTCGCACCCAGCTTTAAAAATATTAAATTGTTATACTAAACTGCTTTCAGTAACCTTGTGCCTTGACTGCATAAGCGTGTTTCTGAATTTTTTTCAGACCTAATATTTTGTCCAATAATTTGCAAATGGAACAGTGATGGGTACTTTGTGTGGTTTTCACTGGCCCAAGAGCATGACCCGTTTTGCAATAAAGTTGAAAGTTCGACTGCTGCTGCTGCTACTAATTTCAGTAACAACAGTCATCACATAAATGACATAAGCTGCCATTATTATAACAACAACAACAACATTATCAGATGGAGAAACTGGAGGATTTCAGATATGAAAATTACCTGCAGTTAGACACACACTGTTATTATTAAGACATATTAATATTTTGTTTAACCAGTCATGCCTGACATAGAGATGAAAAATTGGCACAATCAGAATGCAGAACTGGTCAGCTTTACGGGTACACAAACATAAAGGACTGAATTATTGTTGTGGCTATAAAGTTTTTATCATCGTACAAAATTAGGATGTTTATGGCATTAGAAGGAGGATGCAAGAGAATTTCCAGTGTCCTTATTACAGTTAAATAATAATGACAGAAAAACTACTGTTTCAGCTTGCTTGATTGTTCAAAAATAAGTAAAGGAGTTTTTTTTTTTCAGCAGTGGGACGTCTAATATATGATGCTAAACTCATGTTTGTAGACCAGCTGCACTAAGTACAGGGAAGTAAAAACTGGGAGGTGAATGGTCATAGACCACGAGGGAGACTAAGAAGACGATGGAGAGATAATATCTAGACAGAACCTGCAAACACTTGGTGTCACCAACTGGAAAGAGAGGGCCAACCAGAGAGATGAGTGGAGGCGGGTGATATCTGCAGAAATGAACCTCAAGGGCTCGGAATGCTGAAGAAAAAGAGGGGAAGCTGCACTCGAGTGGATGAGGCAGTAAACATTGCAGCTTCCATCTTTTCTTTCTCAGAACATGATGCCTGGTACATATATTATACTGGGAACCAAAGGTCATGTATGGAGGGAAGGAAATTGCTTAGTACCGATTCAAACCCAGGACTGTTGGACACACAGGCTAGTGTCCATACCAGGCATATTCAACTGGCGGCTCGCAGATCATTGCCAGTTGTATTGTGTTAATGATCTTTCTGTGCTGGGGCTTGGGCCTCTGGCGTGCAACGATACCAATGTTCAAAATTGTTGCACCTGTATAAACTTAATTGAATGACCCTGGTCTAACTGCTATGCTTTCATAGCAGCTATTGTCAAATGTAAATTAATATGGCTGATCTTAAATGTTTGCATCCTTTTATATGTTTGCACCCTTTTATTTAGTAAAGCAATTTATACAGCAGGGGATAATAATTCATCCACTTTTCTCTTTGATTTTAGGTGAAGAACAAAATGGCAGCTCCTGTCCAGATAACGGCAGAACAGCTGTTGAGAGAGGCCAAAGAAAGAGAGCTGGAGCTTGTACCACCTGTGAGTACCCTTTACTATTACTATTAAAGGTTGAACATATTATAAACATTTTAATAATGTATGTGTAATTTACTGTTTAAAGTTGACACGAGTAATTATAGTTAACAATTTGTAAGCATTTTACCCCACATGAACAGTTTAGTGTTAAGCATTTGATATTTAAAGAAGAGATTGATTTTGATTCTGGTTTCCATCCATCCCTACAGCCACCCAAGCAGAAAATATCTGATCCAGAAGAGCTTGCAGATTATCGTATGAGGAAACGAAAGGTAAGATATTTGGACAAGAGGAATCATTTCATTATTGTTTTTAAATATGTTAATAAGGGATTGAAGAATCAAAATAAAAAGAAATGTTTTTCAGTGCCAACCATTAACACTGCATACATTAATAAGAAAACTCCTGTGAGATTGTCTTGTTCTTAAAAAAAAAACACATTTTTTTCCCCATTATTATTGCAATACTACAAACAGTAAACCAAAAGTACACAGTTATTTGTTACCACCAAAGGTGCAGTTTAATCTTATATTAGAGTAATAATGCTGAGATATTAAGTTTCTTGGGAAAATGATTAAGAGATTCCAATGATAGACCAATGAAAGGGGTAACAAATAAGCGAGTAACATAGAAAGTAAATAAGTACCCTCTTTTCACCAGTGGCACATTTGACATATAAGGCTCAATGCATAGTTTTATAGACCAGTTAGTCCTGGGGGGGGGGGTGGATTTGTGATGTGGTCTGCTTCCTTTATTTCAGGTGGCATTACCTGGTACTAATTTTAGGCTGGGTTGACAGGGGAGCCGGGGTCAAGTTTAAAGATTGATTTTTTAAAAATCTGTTTTGATAACAGTATCCTGTGGGGGGTGGTAGATAAGGCCCACTGGCCCAAAACAAGGGTATTGTAAAAGGTGACTAATTAGGGGTGTCTCCTTCAAAACTGGAGTGACAAACTAAGGAGGTTTACTTTGCAAACCAAATGAAGATATGCCATTGACAAACTAAGAGAAAGGTTTGCCATTGACAGACTAATGGAAGAGTGGCCATTGGCAAGCTAAGAGAAAGGATTGCCATTGACAGACTAATGGAAGAGTGGCCATTGACAAGTTAAGAGAAAGGTTTGTCATTGACAGACTAATGGAAGAGTGGCCATTGACAAGCTAAGATAAAGGTTTGCCATTGACAGACTAATGGAAGAGTGGCTATTGACAGGCTAAGAGAAAGGTTTGCCATTGACAGACTAATGGAAGAATGGCCATTGCCAAACTAAGAGAAAGGTTTGCCATTGACAGACTAATGGAAGAGTGGCCATTGACAAGCTAAGAGAAAGGATTGCCATTGACAGACTAATGGAAGAGTGGCCATTGACAAGCTAAGAGAAAGGTTTTTTGTCATTGACAGACTAATGGAAGAGTGGCCATTGACAAGCTAAGAGAAAGGTTTGCCATTGACAGACTAATGGAAGAGTGGCTATTGACAGGCTAAGAGAAAGGTTTGCCATTGACAGACTAATGGAAGAATGGCCATTGCCAAACTAAGAGAAAGGTTTGCCATTGACAGACTAATGGAAGAGTGGCCATTGACAAGCTAAGAGAAAGGTTTGCCATTGACAGGCTAACGGAAGAGTGGCCATTGACAAGCTAAGAGAAAGGTTTGCCATTGACAGGCTAACGGAAGAGTGGCCATTGACAAACTAAGAGGCTGACACAGGTGAACTGAACCATCGATGCAAAGACCAGCAATGTTGAGAAGGGAGAGGCTGGCTTTCTGTCAGCCAGGTCCAGTAAGGCTATGGCACAGTTGTTGTCTTCTGTGGGGGAGAGTGGCTGCCAGATAGGAACATTTAGCAACATCTTTATGAGGCAAATGCAGTCATTGATGGACACATACAGGTCTTGAAGCCGACATACATGATTTGGATGCACATGCGGATAAAGATCCCTGGGTGTCATGACTCAGAGGGGTCTATCTCAGATAGTGATAAGATAGAAAGGTTAATGGTGAAGGTAAATTGTTGAAAGCTGATATCTACTAGGTTCATTGTTTCATATAGTATTCTTGTTTTTTTTTATATAATGAACCTCAGGTGCTTTATTAAAATCCCACCCCAAACAGGGGATATCCACAGGTCAAGGGATAGTAATATTTCAGGGAGTGGTAGATAGACTGCATGCTGTCGGGGACCCTAGGCTGCAGTCTCTCTTGGGACGTAAGTGGGTTGGGGTTAGGGCCAGTTCTAGATGTTTTTAGGTGGTTAAAAGCATCAGAAAGCCGGGAAACCCAGTCTTACCACCCTGTAAAATGTTGGACTGTCCTGTGACGTTATCTGGGGGTAGGATATTAATAAATCACTGAACCTCATAATAATACATTAACGCAGTACATGAAAAATCATTCACACTGCACTGTCTGTTGTGGAATATTTATATATATTTTGTGTGTGTGTGTGTCTAAAGATGTTTTGTAGATAGGTGCTCATGATAATCTAATCTTGCAGATGTTTGAAGACAACATAAGAAAGAGCCGTTCGGTAATGGCAAACTGGATCAAGTATGCTCAGTGGGAAGAGAGTCAAAAGGAGCTGCAAAGGTTTTACATTTTTAAATCAACATTATTTTATTTCACACAAACAGTACTTTCAAGCAAAGTCATAGTTTGCACTAGTCAGTGGTAACCAGCATAGAAGAATTAGCCTTTTCATATCAAGGTTGTCAGATTATGTTTTATTACTAAATTCTAAAAATTTGGCTATTTTCCATGAAGTTGGCACCGATTATTTATTCAGTTTTTTTTCCACAAATTTGTTTGTGTATCCTGTTTGAAAGCAGTGATGTTGATTTTCATACAAAATTGGGAACAAGCTGAACTTAAATCACAAATTTGGGGGGGGGGGGGGGGTAATGATCCTTTATACTATATTGAAATGTTGGGCTTATACATCACTGTCGTTCATTCTAGTTTGTGATGGACGGCTTAGTAAATTTTACTGATTTTTAAATGGACATTGCGGCATACCCGTAGTAGCTCTGTCCCCCACATGATGTAGATGCTGTCAGTTCCAGCAGCACACAGGAGGTACATGTCGTACTCTTCCTCCCCTGTGATCTTTCTTGCCTGATCCCCACTTACTTCCAAATTCACACAGCCCTACACATGTTGTTCCTCTAACTTTAGTAGAACTAGTTACAAAACTTGGATAATTGGAAAAACTCAAGTCTGCTACAACTTATCTGCAGCATTTTAAATTCCCCTTTTTAAAGGTTAGGTGTTGTCATGCTAAATATAGTTTGAGAATTGCAGGAATATGAGGTTTTATCACTTTGAAGTCATGTGACTTCTCACAATTATAACAGTATAATTTTTCTTCTGATTGTTAGAGCCAGGTCAATCTGGGAGCGAGCCTTGGATGTTGATCACAGGAACATTACAGTTTGGCTGAAATATGCTGAAATGGAGATGAGGTAATACAATTTGTTTTATATTTTTTGTTTGTTTTAAGAAAGCCTGAATATGCTCTGAGCTGCTTTTAAAGATTTAAGACATCCAGACATAAGTATGAGCACCAAGAAGCAGATTATAAACAGCATAATCATACCAACGCTGTGTTGCCAGTGCCAGATTTGGACATTATCAAAGGATAATCTACTTAAAATTAACACCTGTGAAATGAAAAGCCACCACAACTTAACCATTCGAGACAAAAAGAACAACTACCAACGCAGTCTCTACACATGGAAAGATCTGCAGTGAAAGCAAGAAGCCATCCTAGAAGAAGATGGATTGATGACATTAAAAGGCTTCTACTTCGACATGAAATGGCAATAGCCATTGCTGCCCGTCAAGCTGTGGATGGCAAACTGTTCCTTACCACAGTGCTTAACGGCAGAAGTGGAAATTGATGATAATGATGATGAAGTAAATCTTTGGCTTTGATGAGTTTATATTTGAAATAGTGTAATTATTTATAATTTAATTTTGTATGTCCATCATGTGTAATGGCTTTGACAAACAAAGAGAACCTGTAATGAAATTGGCACAGAATTGGTGATGTGATTTCCTATGTTAATCCCGGGGCATTTTTGTGGGGGGTGGGGGGAGAGAAAGTAGATCTACTGCTCTACTAACAAGCTTGGCATATAAGTCTACTTATATGTGTGTTTCCTTCGAGGTCAGCTTGCGTCTGCCAGAGAGGCGCGGAACCAAGTCTGCATACAGATAAGCTAAATCTGTTAAACGGATGTTCAGATTCTGGAACGAGGCTAAAAGTGGATGAGCAACCATAACTTTCCTCCTGAGATTGCAGCCGGTGAACCGGATAGAGAAGAAGAGATGGTGTGATCAGAGTCATGACACAGCCATACAGCCCCCATAAGATATCTTTCTCTGCTCTGTTGGGTGGGTAGACCATGAAGTCATTTTAAAGTGAGGTGAGGGATCCTTTTCCATTCATTCAGAAGTGTTGGGTTTATAGGGCTAGACCAGTCGGCACCTGATGGGTGATGTGGTCAACATCACGCCGGCCACCTTTACTTCCTAGGACTGTACCTGGTACCCATTTAAGGTTGTGTCGACCTGGGAGCCAAGGTCTTTTTTTTCTTTTAAAGTCCGGCTCGACCAGGACCCACAACCTTCCGATCTGCAAGCGTCTAGCTGCTACACTACGGAGCCCCCCCCCCCCCCCCCCCCCCCCCCCCCCCCCGAGTGATTATTTGGGGGGAGTTCAAGTCTAGACCATCAGATTGGCAGGTGAGGACACTGATCACTGCACCATAATGGCTCCTTTATGGCATGTAAATGAAATTAGAATATGGTGTATGGGATTCTGTTATTTGAAAATGTGCAGTAATATTTTGCTTACGTTGTCAAGGTGCCGACAGATCAACCATGCCCGCAACATCTGGGATAGAGCTGTCTTGGTCCTACCAAGAGCCAACCAGTTTTGGTACAAATATACTTATATGGAAGAGATGCTGGGAAATATAGCAGGTACGGTTTAGATGTTTTTGCAGAGAGCCATACTGTCAACTATCTGTGCATTCCTTATGTATGTGTGTTTTGAGTACAAACCTGTTGATGTCTCAGCAAGTCATCGTGAAATTGGTTACATTAAATTGTTTTGTGAAGCTTATGGCTTGTTTGTTGGGAGCTGGAGAGTGAAGTCGAAAAGATGGGGAGAACATGGGGGGAGCTGCATGTAATATGCATAGGATAGAACAACTTGACATGAGTTGGTTGAGGGCCTATGCTCCATAGATGGATAGAAGAAAGAAGAAGAATATGGCTTGTTGGTACACACAGTCTTTAGAAGCATGGCGTTTGCTTTTCCTATCCTTTGGCTGTCTGTTGCGTAATGCTAGGTGTGGTAGGCTTATGCCTTTCTTTTTGTTTTCTATCCCTTGGCCTGCCTAACATGGAAGATCCTACCAGTATCTGGGTCATCCTTGTTGCAGCACTTTAGTTTTTTGAACACACACACCTGTCTACCACTTCGAGGTGGAAATATACCAAAGCAAAGGTTTTTCAGATATAAGTTTTGGGTTTTTTCAGTTTTTTTCATATGTGGTTTGTGTATTTAAAACTAGTTTAGTCAGTTTCAGGACATTATTATGGTGTTTCAAAATCGTGGAAGGTTTACAGCTTTCTTTTAATGACTTGTCTACACATGTTGTCACAGACCATGCCTTGTGCTTGTTTATTGGGTTGGTTTTTTTTTTCATGCTTTCCTTATTTTGTGCATTTTGGGTTTACTTATCAGTTACTGTGATTTGGACGTGATAAGATGGTGGTTAGTTTATATGGCAAAGACATAAATGTTTCAACCCATTTCTTTCTTCCTTCTGCAGTCACAGTTAGAAGGGCATTTGGCACTTTGTGTTGTGGTTTACTGCTAGGCTGTGATGTATGCACTTTTCTGCCCAGTACATCTGATTTCAGCAAAGTAACCTATAAGTAAAAACCCAATACTTCAAATCCAGTCAGGTCATTGGCTATGGAATTACTTTTCCATTTTATCAGGTTATATTTTGTAATATTTATTCAGTTAAGAGATTGGATTAAACTGTGTTGACTCATGTTTGTAATCGTTATAATTTTTACAAATTGTTGTAGGTGCGCGGCAAGCATTTGAGCGATGGATGGAGTGGGAGCCAGAGGAGCAGGCTTGGCATTCATATATTAATTTTGAACTCCGTTACAAAGAGCTGGACCGGGCAAGGACGGTGTATGAGAGATATATCCTTTGTTTAGCAGTGTATTTTTTATAGAAGCTTTAATTTGTATCTGCCCCATATGTTTGTTCTCTGTATTGTTTGGCCACATAATTTACATAACTACTTCCGTTTAGTTGTTACTAACGTCTCAGCCAAATCCATCTATGCGTTAACCCAGATGAAGACTTGTTTAGTGAAATATTAAATGCTCCGTATCTTCTTTATATCATAACTGTTTGCAGAGAAGCAAAACTCAGGATGTTATCGTTTATGATGCCAGGATACATAGTGCAAAGTCATCCTCTGACCCATATAACGCTTGACAGATAATATAAGGAAGGCTACAGTGGAAGAGGGAGCCGCCATTATAACAGATAGATGCATACTTTTTGGCCATAGATTTTATATGTGCATTGATTTTTTTTTTTTTTTAATTGATCTTAACTCCCAGGTCGACCCAGCAAAAGATAAGCAAGTAAAGAAGGCCGGTGTGCCGTTGACCACATCTCCCATTGAGTGCTGATTGGTCTAAAAACAGGTCTTGCACTATATGTCTCATGACCCATGATCTTGTGGTGGAAGATGTAATAGTATATTCTGAGGCATCAGGAGATAGAGAGTTCTTGACAGTTAAACAGAGGGACAAAAATTACAGGGTAGAATATGTTTAACCTGGCGTCAAGCATGAGGATGTAAGTATATGCAGTTATTGCACTTCTGAGTTAGTTTTCTGAGTCATCGACACTCAGCAGAGTTTAAGCTGAATATTTTTTATACCTTCTTCTCCTTTGCGTTTACCAGCTGTTTACAAGTTCTGGTTGTTCATCCACTTCCGAAATTTAGTCTTGTTTCAGAACTTGAATTGTATGTGCACGTCTATTTTTACAGATCTGCTTATTTGTACGCAGACTGTTAATTCCTCTCAGACGGATATGCTGCGACTTCGGAAGAAAAATTCCTTGTCATCTTTAACGACATGTTTGATAAGGAGGCAGTAGCCTATTCTCCCCCTCCCCCTAATGAGGCCCAGGAATCCACATAGAGATTTTCTGATACAAATGGTACATTTACCTTCGTAGTGCCAGGTTGGATCCCAGCTGCAGACGATTCGTCTTGCATTGGTTTCAACAGGGGTACAGAGAGCTGACCGTTCAGTAGCAGTGGCAAACTACTGAATGAAAAAAAAATTGTCTTAAAATGCAACGTCCTGTAAAGGAAACGCAACTAACTTTTGATACACATTTACCACACCTGCTGGAGATAAAATACCTGAATGACTAGCCTGTAGGATATCTCTAGGGGAGAATGAAAAACGTTGAGTTCTGTCGTGGAAGACATTTTCTTTTTTATGGGTGCTCTGTAATTTTCTATGTAAGTTAAGAATTCTTCTTCGCTCGACAATATCAGTCATGCTAAACATTTAGTCCCATGTGGGTCAAAAATAGGATAGTGCGTCCAAGGTCGCTGCCGGTCTCCTACAGTCTTTTGTAATGCAGCTCCCTTGGGCCAGATCCGGTCTTTGCTAGGATAATTACGGCAGTGTAAAGAAGACTGATGCACTTCCATCAACCCGAAACTGCAGTTCTAATGGCAGACTGATTGTTTGAACTTATGACCGCTACTTTACACCTTCAATGTATGTGTGTGCTGTTATCTTTATTGAGACTGCAGTCTGTTCCAATTTGTTTTTCATGAGGGTCAGTAATAGGCATTCTGTGTGGGGTTCGCAGGCACATGAGCAGAACAGTTATGGGATGACCCATGGAACTGGGGCCAACTGACCGGCTAACTGTAATTTATAAAGGCAGGTTCCTAATCTTGAGACAATTTGATGTAATGCTTGTAAGAATATGGCTTTTTTTCTTAACCTGTGTACTTGTCCTGGTTCACCCTGAAGTCAAAAACTGGATTAAGTATGCCAAGTTTGAGGAAAAGAATAGCTATATCAACAGTGCTCGCTTCATTTATGAAAGAGCTGTAGAGTTTTTTGGAGAAGACAACATTAGTGAATACCTGTTGATTGCTTTTGCAAAGTTTGAGGAAGGTCAGAGAGAGGTGAGTTTTAAATATTATTTTTTTTGGGGGTACTTCTTCTGGTTTGCATTTAATAGCTGTAAACTCTAGCAGAATGTTCTGGTTGTTTAGCCACATCTGGACTTTGGTGGTCTTGTTCCTGAACTTGAGTTTATATCCGTTTTACAGATTATTTGTTACAGACTTGGTTTCACACCTCTCAGGCAGATTAACTCCAACTTTAAAGAAAACTCCCCTAATTATTTGAATTTTACTAAATACTTTTAGGGGGCACCAGAATCCACATAGGGAACTTGACACTTGATGGTGTCTACTTTTTTTTTGTTCACCTGGTGACCTTTACCAGAACATTTCTGGCCGGGCACCCAGTTAATTTAAAAAAATCTATGTTCCAGTGCGGATTTGAACCCCAAACCTTTAAACAACCAGGAGGCAAGTGTCTAGCCATTGGTGTTACTGTGGCTTCTAAAAGCTCACTGTTTCATTATGTTTGAATAGTGCAGTCTTGACCTGTGTAGTTTCAGTCAAGCAAGTAATGTAAATACACAAAGAACAAGAAAGCCTAATGATTGGAGTAGATACTATGAGAAAATGGGCACTGGGTTGTCTTTATTAATTCGCTTTGAACTTGGTACTTCGGGTGTACTTACCTGTCAGAATTCTTTTCTCATTTTCCTATTTCTCTCCATCCATAAATCTGACCAGTTGTCATATGTTCCAGTTTTTCTTTCTCACAATGTGACCAAAAATACTGGACTTTCTCCAGGCTCCTATCCTATGTGAGCCATTGTGATGTAATAAAAACAGACCAGTGCATTGACTTTATCTGATGTCTTCAGTATGTCTTTGACCAGACTAATCTATGTTTGTTATTATCTCGTCCAATAAATTTATAATATAAACATTTTTTTTTTCAAACTTGTTTCTAGAATTGACAATTTGCATAACATTTGTAATTTTTCTCTGCACACCATGTCAGTGGTAAAGGGTAACAACCGTCTTCTCCTGCTAATGAAGATCGTCTCCCATGGACAGTATTCATATTTTTGTATGGTTTTTTTAATAGAAGCAAACAGTATATTCCTTTCAAAACTGATCTGATATAGTGATTAATGGCTGCAAACTAATTTTTCTGGTTTTAGTTTCCAGAAGTTGCAGGTAGTTTTTTTTTTTTTTTTAATAACACAAATGTAAGTCTGGTCTATTAAACTGTTAGGTAATTCTGTCCTTTTAAAACAGTGTTCTGTGAAAGTGGGAGTCACCATGGTGGACCAGCTAGACGCTCGCCCCGGATCAGAAGGTCGTGGGTTCGCTCCCCGGCGGAGCATACTTTTTTTTCAAAAATGACCTTGGCCCCCAGGTCGACCCAGCCTTGAGTTGGTACCGGGTGCAGTCCCGGGAAGTAAAGGCGGCCAGCGTGATGCTGACCACATCATCCATCGTGTGCTGATTGGTCTATAAAAATATAGGTCTAGCTCTATATACCTAAAGACGTGGAAAAGGGACCTTTACTTTACTTTTTTTTTAATTCTTCAAAAGTAAGGCAGTAAAGACAACTAGTCACCTTAGTTCATAATGCCTTGACCTTAAATATGTTGAGTTATGAGCCCCTACAACAATGCCAGTGATGAAACTGTTATTCATTAAAGTTACTATCTGTTTGGTTTATATTTTTACTCTTGATTAAACTATATTCCATGCTTGTACCAAATATGTGTCTCTGTTTTACAAAATGACAACACAGCATGACCGAGCCAGGGTCATCTACAAATATGCACTGGACCACCTACCCAAGGAGCGCTGTGAAGAAATCTACAAGCACTATACGATTCATGAGAAAAAGTTTGGGAGTCGGGCAGCAATTGAGGATGTTATTGTCAGCAAAAGGAGGTTTAAGTATGAAGAGGTGAGGCTCCTTGTTATGCCTGATTTTATACAAATCTATCTATTTTTTAAACAGAAAACATTGATTGTATTTAATTTGCTCAGAAGAAGACTGAAAATGGCAACATTCCTGGCAGGATTTCAAAATAAGAACACCTGCCTGTAGCAATGTATTCACTGTGTAGTTGGGTATGCTACAACAGGTATTAACAGAATTTAGCAGCAAACACAATTGCCATAACAAAAGTAATGAAATAAATTGTAATATATAAGTTGGTTGAAAGTCTGTGAGGAGATTTACAAGAAGTCTTTGAGTAAGATACTCTTAGAAATTAGTTTATTTGAAGATTGCATTGGATGCTGCAGTTTTAGGACATGCATATATTGTATGTCTAGTTGTGCTTTGCTGTCATCTCCAGGAAATTAAGGCCAACCCAATGAACTATGATGCCTGGTTTGATTACCTACGCTTACTGGAATCTGACGGAAATGTTGAACAAGTCAGAGAAGCATATGAGAGAGCTATAGCAAATGTGCCACCATCACAGGTAGGTGGGACTGTTACGTGTAATGTGCTCTTGTCTCTTGTTTACCTTGCCATTTATGGCTAGGAGAGAAAGAAAATGAGCGAGTGAGCAAAAATAAATTATTTGGTCATGCCCTTAATCCACTATGGGTTATAAACTGGGATGTCTTTAGGTCTCATAGGTTTGCCCAAAGCTTGGTTGTCACATCTACTGGATGTGGTAACGTGGTGTTTCAGTTTCGCCAAAGCTTAGTTGTCACATCTACTGGATGTGGTAACATGTTGTTTCACAGCTCCTACAAGAGAAGTCTTATGCCATATCCTCCTCTAGCAGTGCAGGAAGCCCCAGGGCTGATCTGATTTAGATTAGATTTAGATTTAAACAACGGATAAACATCATAACACAAGAGTAACCCATAAGTGTTCCGTTTTACTTCTGACTCAAGCCAGATTCTTCAATCTCAGAGCAGTGCACAAACCCCATAGCACCGGCGAGGGTCCTGACATACTTTGGATAGAAATTTAACTCAAAATTTTGCACCGGGCAACGCCGTTACGCTTCTCTTTTCTATTTCCAACTGCCAAGAGATTTTATACCTGCTCAGCAATACACACGGGCTTGTGATCTTACTACCCAGAGGCCAGGGAAAATTACTGGAAGTCCAGATAAAAAAGATCCTAGCCTTCATGGAGACTTGAACTCGTGACCTCCAGCCCTCTAGGTTGACGCCATGCCTCGAGACCACTCAGCCCCAGGGTTGTCAGTAGTTAAGGTTAGACCTGTTTAAAATGTGTGACCCAGCATGGTGGTACTATAATTGGATAAGTATTTAAACATGTTAACAGTCAGTTACTCCTTCAAAGATCGTGACTTATTTGTATGCAAATTTTTGGTTCCTTGACTCTCTGGCAAATGCACTCCAACTTCGAAGGAAGCACCCCCAGTTAGTCGCCTCTTACGACATGCTTGTTTTGGAGGCAGTGGGTCTGTTCTTGTTTTCCCCTAGGGGGACCCCCGAACCCAATCAAGGAACATTGTTACAAATCTAGAAAGTTCTACCCTAAGAAACTAGAGGAAAACAAGAAGACGTCTCATAGCTGTTTTATAGGCATATTGACCATTGCTCAAAGACATCTTGTCATGAAAAAACCCTGTAAAAATAGGAAGAGCGTTTTTTCCCCAGTTTGACAAGGTTAAATGTAACAAAGATTACCATAAATCAAGAAAAGGAAAAATATTGACATTCTCAACTATGTGAATTTTGAGACCGGCTCAGTGTCACTTCTCATAAACTGAACTGCTTAGGCTATATTAAACACGTAATGTTTTGGAGAAATCAGTATTGGAGAATATGGTTCCTGAAAGAAGTCAGACAGAATGTGACCATGATGGTAGGTGGAGGATGTTAAGGACACCCTGGCGATGCTGGAAAATTGGCAGGGGACAGGTGGCTTTCTCATGTTCTATGGTGGGGGTGACATTCTGAAAAGGACCTGCTACATGAAGATAAGCTATGGTTGTAAATAAATATCTGTAGTGCATGGGAATGCCCCGAGTCCTGTGATGTCAATTCTTGACTCAACTCATAAATATCTATAGTTTGTTAGCTTATACAAATCATGGTTGTTTGATGTGTAGTTTTTATTTCACTGTTAGTAAATTGAAATCTCATTAGCATTGGAAGTGTTATTTCTGAATGTTAATTCAGGTCAAAAGGCACTGGCGGAGATACATTTATCTGTGGATCAATTATGCTCTCTTTGAGGAGCTAGAAGCACAAGACTTTGAAAGGACAAGAGATGTTTACAAGGCTTGTCTGGATGTAATACCGCTGAAGAAATTTACATTTGCCAAAATCTGGCTTATGTTGGCTCAGTTTGAAATCAGGCAGAAAAACTTGAATGGTGCAAGGAAAGTTCTGGTAAGTCCATTATTGTTTCTGTCATTTTTGTTTTTTATGTTGACCCATTGAGAAATTTTTCCTTAACTTGTTCTTTTCCATATAACTCAGAAACGTTACAACAGGTATAGAGTGAGCGGAAGACCTCGGAAAAAATGAAGTGATGGCATTTAGAACAGCCTTACAGAAATGAGCATCAGTCTTAATTGTGCACTTGACAGAGCTCATCAGCAAACTTTACATCTCCCCCCGACACTTTGATGAGTTACAGGGTGGAAGAGAAGAATCCAGTCTCTTTCGGAACCAACCAGTATTTTGTAGCAACAGATGCTTCATACATCGTCATCAGTTGACAAACTGGCATAGTTGTTCATACTTCTCCGCAGCTCCTGAGTTTTAACAGCATATGATTTATTATTTCAGTCATGATTAAGAATGTCTAGAATCTGTCCTTTCTGCCTTCCTATGTTTTTTTTCCCCAGTAGTCCCACAAAATGTTCACATTTTCTCTTCAAATTATGATTGCCTCTTTGTGATATCTATAATAGTTTTGTTTTTGTTATTAAGGTCACATTTTAGAGTTCCCATTATTTCATGCCGCACGGCCTGTCTTTTGTTGTGGGAGTGTTGTTAGATGGCTTCGTTTGGCGTTTTCTGGCCGTATATAATGTTTGTGCTGTTGTGATGGGAAACTGGGATGTTTTTGTTGTATTTCTGCATTTCTTGGTGGAGACTCTCCCTTCCCCCACAAAGAAGTCACTGACAAGGAATGTAGGAATATGGAAAACATCTCAGTTTTGATACTCACGCCCCGTTGGTAAGAAGCACAATGTGGAAATAATCATGAGAAAAAAGAGAATGGTTTACCTGGTGAAAATAAGAAATACATGACACCTCCACATCATAGAATACACCAGGGGACCAGCGGCAGCATGAATGGAAGGGGAAGGAACCCTTGCCATACAGGCAGGTACCTTAAATTCCCATGAGTAGATGGGTAAGAGAATGCAGTCTGAAGATAATTACTTCCCGGAACACACAAAGGGGAAACTTCTCAAACTGTATCCATTGCTCTGCTCGAAACTAATCACTCAGCCACCTTGGCCCAGGCTCACTTCCTTCCATACACTTATTAAAATGAAATATTCTTCCATTCTTTCTAATAAAATTGCCTTGTTAGCTGAGAATAATGTAAAAAAAAATATAATGGACTGACAGAAAAATTGTCCTCTCTGTATTTTACCCATGTATATTTCTTCTTCTTTACATTTACCAGCTGTGAACTCCAGCAGAAAGTACTAGTTGTTCGTCCACTTCCAGAACTTGAGTTTTTCATGTACATCCATTTCACAGATCTGGTTTATATGTATGTGGACTGTTGATTCCTTGCCTCTCTGGCAAATGCACTCTGAAGGAAACCCCCAGTTGGTCAACTGATCTGTTTGTTGGGGGGGGGGGGGAGAGACAGTGGGTCCATTCTTATTTTCCCCGACAAGGGGCCCCAGAATCCCCAAGGGGAACATGTACATTTAGATCCAGATGTTTAAATTCATAATTTTTAACAGATGTAGCTGTTTAAGTTGTATCCATTCTCTTTGTTTATTTTAAAGGGTACAGCAATTGGCCGGTGTCCAAAGAGCAAAATCTTTAGGGGATATATTGACTTGGAGCTTCAGTTGAGAGAGTTTGATCGTTGTCGCATGCTGTACCAGAAGTTTTTAGAGTTCAGCCCGGAAAATTGCACGACATGGATGAAGGTCAGTGGCATACGTGAAGCCAAATATTTAAAAATTAATAGCAAGGTTATGGGAAACAGATACAAAGCATAATCTGTTTACTTCACATAAGTCAAAAGTTTCACAAATTGCAAAGCTTAACAGTACTACTGTCATGTCTGTTCACTGTTATTTTCTTGTTTGCTGAACTGTTGTACTATATTCCCCCCCCCCCCCACCCCTTTTAAAAAAAAAACTATTTTTTGTTGTTGCTGTGAAGAAGGATTTGAATATGCCATGGCTGGTCTCTTTTCCCCCTATAATATGTGCTTAACAGTACTACTGTCATTTCTGTTCACTGTTACTCTTGTTTTCTAAACTGTTGTACTACACATGCACCCCCCCCCCCCCCCCCCCCCTTTTTTTTTTTTCTCAACAATTTTGTTCGTGCAGCAAGAATTTCAGTATGCCATGGCTGGTCTCTATTCCCTCTATAATATGTGTTTAACAGTGCTACAGTTATTTCTGATCACATGTAATCTTGTTTGCTGAACAGCTGTACTACATTTTTTTTTGGGCTGTGAAGCAAGAATTTGAATGTGCCATGGCTGAACCGTTTTCCTCTGTATAATGTGTGCAGTATGCTGAACTGTTGTTCTTCATTTTTGTGTGTGTTTGTGACTGTTTTTGTTGTTGCTGTGAAGCAAGAATTTGAATGTGTCATGACTGAATTGTTTTTCCCCCTATAATCCGTGCAGAATGCTGAGCTGTTGTACGACAGTTTTTGTTGTTGCTGTGAAGCAAGAATTTGAATGTGTCGTGACTGAATTGTTTTTCCCCCTATAATCCGTGCAGTAAGCTGAGCTGTTGTACGACAGTTTTTGTTGTTGCTGTGAAGCAAGAATTTGAATGTGCCATGGCTGAACTGTTTTTTCCCCCTATATGTTCAGTATGCTGAACTCTTGTACGACAGTTTTTGTTGTTGCTGTGAAGCAAGAATTTGAATGTGCCATGGCTGAACTGTTTTTCCCCCCTATAATCCATGCAGTATGCTGAGCTGGAGACTATCCTTGGGGACGTAGAGAGAGCCCGATCTATCCTGGAGCTGGCCATCAATCAGCCCCGCCTGGACATGCCCGAAGTCTTGTGGAAATCTTACATTGACTTTGAGGTGGACCAGGAGGAGTATGAGAATGCTCGGAAACTGTACAAGCGGTTGCTGCAGCGGACACAACATGTGAAGGTATGATAATTAAGTCTGTTTATACAGTTTCTGGTTTAGTCCGGCACATACCAGGCATGTTTGCAAATGATCGATTATAGAGTCGAAAAATGCTGCTCCTCTTTTGATACATGCCAAAGATGGGGTGGCCATCTTTAAACTATCATTATGACATCACCATTTTCCCTGTAAGGGTTCCGGGGTCCCATTGTGGGGAGAACAAGAATAGACCCACTGCCTGCCCAAAAGCATGTTGTAAAAGTCAATTAACTGGGAGCCTTCTTCAAAGTCAGAGTGCATCTACTTGAGAGGCAAGGAACCAGCAGTCTGCATGCAAAGGAGTCAGACCTGTGGATGTGAACTCAACACTTAGTTTCTAGAGTAGAACTAGAGTCCAGAAGTGGACAAACACCTAGAATTTTCTGCGGGAGTTTACATCCGGTGAAGAACAAGAAGACATCACCATCTGCTCTGTGATGTGACATGCTTACCACACCTGGTATCCCTAATGTTTGTTTTAGTATCCAGAAGCCTTGAGTTGTTAACCCTTAGGCTCGGTATTATGGATATCGCAACCTTTCGGCCTTGATTCCATTGTAAATACCGTAAATCTGGGAGAAAATGTGGCTTTCATGCCCACCCCAGGGATTGAACCCGGACCACAAGGAGTTCGTCACCCGGTCTCCGCGCAATCTGGTTTAGCCAACTACGCTAGAGAGTTTGGGTGGCATCCTTAATAACATTATTGACAGGTATCAAGCAGGTGGCATGGCTATTGTTATATCCAGCACACTTTTAAGGTTTTCTTTTGAAACGCTTTAATGGTTTTCATTTGAAACGCTTTTGTAAATGTTAACTGTTATAAAAGAGAGAGTACTCTTGTGTAGGTAAGTGGTTGCAGGCTAAGGTGACAGGATGGACCAAGTGAACTGGTGGCAATGCTGCTTCCACTAAACTTAAACAGATCACCTTCATGGCACATCGAACAATTCAGTCCGGATTCCCTCTTTGGATGTTCCACAGTGTGTAGCGGTTAGCAACATCACCGCTCTGTGTTGGTTTATTATTTATTGTTCTTGGGTTTCCTGTGTGCTTGTCTTGTCTGGCCATGCTTGTAGTTCAGCTCCAACTAAAGAACCTTATGTGTCCTTTGAATGGGGCATGATGCGAACATGATCCGCAGTGTGCTGAAACTGTTGAGTAAGAATTCCTTGAAAAACAAATCATTGTGAGATGAAAATGTTATGGGAGACAACCCAGACAGAATGCACAATGTGCCCTACTAATGACCTGGGAGCCGTCATGGTGTAGTGGTTGGATGCTCGCCTGTTGGTCTAAAGGTCATGGTTTCAGATCCTGACGGAGCATGGCTTTTTCCAAAGATGACCTTGGCTCCCAGGTCAACCCAGCCTCAAATGGGTACTAGATGAAGCGCTGGGAATTAAAGGCGGTCGACCTGATGCTGCCCACATTAGCCACTGAGTGCTGATTTGTCTATAAAACTTAGACCTAGCCATAGATTCCCAGTGCGCATACAAACATGGAGAAGGAATTTTCACTTACTGAACTATAGTATTTATAAAAAAAAAAAAAAGTAGGAAAACAAGAATAGACCCACTGCCTCCGACTATTTGGAGGGGTGGGGAGGGCCTTCTTTGAAGTCGGGGTGCATCTGCCTGAGAGGCTAGGAACCAACAGTCTTCTTACAGATAAGCCAGATTTGTCAAACAGATGTGCATGCAACACCCAGGTTCTGGTGACTTACAACTAGAACTTTCTGCTGGAGTTTACAGCCAGGGAATGTGAAGAAGAGAAGAGCTGGGCTGCTCGATATTTGCTCTTTTTGATCCAACATATCCAGTTTCCTAATTAGTTGCCTTTTATGACAAGCTTATTGCGGGGGCAATTTGTCTGTTTCTTCTCTCCCCCCACCCCACCTCGAATGAGACACTGAAGTCAAATAGAGAATACTCTTTGTCTGAATTGTTGCTAGCCTGAGGGCAGGGTTAACAGATTTTCATGAATGTTTCAGGTGTGGATCAGTTATGCCAAGTTTGAATTATCACTCCCTGAAGATGGTGCCCTGGCCAGATCTAGAGCCGTATATAGAGAGGCCAATCGGGCACTGAAAAACTCACCAGATAAAGAGGAACGTTTGTTATTACTGGAGGCATGGCAGTCTCTGGAGGTAGGATGGTCATTGCATTGGTTTATTTTTTTTTTTCCTTTGTTCGCCATTAAAATGTGTTCACCATGTTATGTTGTGGTTTACAGCTAGACTGTGACATCTGTGCCTTTCAGCCCAACACATCCAATTTACAGACAAAAAAATGAAAGATTCAGCTATCTAGTGAGGCTGCAATCAGACCAAGCTGCATATGAGACTTTTAACTGCAGAACATCTGGGAGGAAGACCAAGAAAGATGTGGATAATGATGAAACAAAAACCTGCAAAAAGATGAACAAATCCGTCAACTAAGCCACCCAAGAAGTGCAAGACAAATACATAAAATCATGAAACTGGGCTATAACCTGGTATCAGTGAGATGGCAAAAGAAGAACCCACAGTGGAAACTACTATTTGTAATTCTTTGTCTTCTAGTGAAGCTGGCAGCACATATCAAGTATTTCCCACTAGCATTTGATGAGCTTTGCTGCTAGAATTTCATGCAGCATCCATCTTTGAGAGTGGTAGCAGTGTATTTAACATGCTGGCAGTACCCATAATGCTTACAGTGAAAGAATCAACTTTGTTGCTCTAGGGTATTCCAAATGGCTTTGTCTCTCTCCGCAAATTGTCTGCTTGCAAACTCTAGTGCCAGCAATGATATGGCCCACCCCCCCCCCCTTTTTTTCCCCCCCAAGGTTCTCCAAATGCCTGCACTTATGACATAAAGGACAGTGCCACAAATAGAATCCATAACCTTAGTGCACAGAGCAGATGGTTTAACTACTTTGGTGTGAATGCCATAGGAGGATGTAGATTATTGAACGATATCTGTAGTTTCTGAGATTGTAGATGCTGGTTCTTTCAAACAGCAAATTTTAATTATGTTCTTGCTGGACAGAAATGAAAAGCCCAGCCTACGCAGTTCACAACAGCTGCACTAGCCATGTGACCTCGAATCCTCAGGCTCAAAAAGCCCGTGTCTTATAGTGGCACAGGTGTAGTCAATGCAGGCAGTAAGGGCGGCTCTTATAGTGGCACAGGTGTAGTCAATGCAGGCAGTAAGGGCGGCTCTTATAGTGGCACAGGTGTAGTCAATGCAGGCAGCAAGGGCGGCATCTGGTTTTTTTTTTTTAAAGTTTAGGTCTGAAATTAACTTTTGAGGCTTGTGCATTGCCCAGTGAAGCATGACATATTTTCTTTGAAAGCCATTCAGGTAGCACACAGACCAAGAAGTTGGTCCTTTTGGAGCTTAGCATGCCATATGAATAATGAATGTTTGCAAGAGAGTGAATTGTTATAGTGTTTGTATTTTTTTTTTATTCGCTTGTTTTGTATTTAACTAATGTCTTCTACTGTTTTGTGTCGGCATCTGTGGATCAGGCATTGCAAATGCGCTTTGTAATGCTGAAGTGCCAGGTTCGATCCCAGCTGCAGGCGATTTGGCAGCAGAATGTATTACATTAGTTTGGACAGTGCCTTCTGCTGCAATATTGTTGATCCGTTGTCTGAACCTAAACAAAGAGCTGACCGTTCAGGAGCAGTGGCAAACTACTGAATGTAAAATTTGCCTTAAATAACTACAACAGCCCAAATATGCTGGGGGTGGTTCTGCAACATCCGTTAAAGCAGCAGTTCGAACGACCCTTTTACAGGGGTCACCAAATACCATCGGAAAATATATTGGCCCAAGTTATAAAGTAGCAACGAAAATAATTGCATGGTTGGGGGTGGCATGAGGAACTGTATTAAAGGGTCGCAGTGTTAGAAAGGTTGAATACCATAGCTGTAAGGGAAAACGCAATTAACTCTTACAGTTTGGAAAGTAAAATTGTGTCAATGATTTACAGGAGGAGGCGGGAGATGAGCAGTCAAGGCAGGAAGTGGAGAAGCTGATGCCACAGAAAGTCAAGAAAAGAAAGAAGATTCAAACAGAGGATGGGGTAAATATCTCAGTGTTGTAACTTGTAGTTAAGCATACTGTAATTGATATTTTTGTTTTATGCGCATTAAATTATCGCCACCCAGAACCTGAGTATTGCATGCACCATCCGTTTTACTCATCATACTTATTTATATGCAGACTACTAGTTTCTTGGCCTCTCTGCAAATGCACTCTAATTTCAAAAGGAAACCCCCATTTTTTCAACTCTTACGACATGCTTGACATGGGGGCAGTGAGTCTGTGCTTGTTTTCCACACAGTGGGGCCCCGGAACCCACACGGGCTGTCTGTGGTTTGGTTGACCGCATCACCCACATCGTGTCAGTTGGTCAGTAAAAATATCCTTCATTGGTCCATCACAAATGATGAGGACCACTCTTTCTTTCATCCGTCGTGAAACTGCAGTTGAATGTTTGTGAGTCCGGAGGTGACCTACAAGTCCAGTAAGTGCCCTCAAGAGTCTAGGACAATGAGGGCAGGGCACAGCGTCTGTAGACAAAGGGCTTGTTTTAAAAATTTAGTCTAGCACCATTTGGCTGATGTGCCACTGTCTTAAAAAATGGCTTTTTACTAATTGTTCAGTTACCTTCTCGACCAGGATATTGACCATCTTTATTTTATCTTAAAGCAACTGCTTTTGTTCTCTTTCAGCTGGATGCCGGCTGGGAGGAGTACTTTGACTACATCTTCCCAGACGAGGAGCTGGCCAAGCCCAACCTCAAACTGTTGGCCCTGGCTAAAAAGTGGAAGGAAACCAAGGAAACAACGGAAGAGAACTCTGAAAGCTGATAGTCTGCAGGCGTTGCGGTCTTCACATTCTGTCCCAGTCTTGGACATGAATGTCCAGGTGTCATTTATGACTGTTTTTTTTTTTTTTAGATGAATTAGAATGCAAGAGTTTGAATCAATTTCTAATAGTCATTGTATGTGAGAAGTTGAAAATATGAGATAAAATGGAGGAAAAAGTATTTTTTTTTATATGTACTAATGGTAATGATAGGATTTTATGTTACAGAAGAGTTCCAAAGCTTCTTGACCAAGAAAATACATGACTGATTACTCTATTGGAGATTGTTATGCCCCCTCCACTGATTAGTGTCATCATCATCATGTAGCAGGTCCTTTGCAGAAGTTCACTTTCATTACAGTCCGCCTGAAAGAAACTTGGTCTCTCACCAACTCTCCCACTTCATGTAATTCAAGGAGTCACTTATATCCTGTGCCAATCTTCGTGTTGGTCACCTTATTCCTGGTTCTTCCTGGTACCATGACTTCTGCTATTATTTGTTCTAATCCATCATGGCTTTTGATATGACCGAATATTTCGGCTTCTGAAATAGAGTAGGACTCTTCAGCTAAGTTTACTCAGGGCCCAGTATTTGGAGATCGTCACGAGCCAGAGGTCTAAGCCCCAGTATAGGAAGATTATTAATACAGTTCAACTAGCAATGATCCGAGGGCCGCTTGCTAGGCCCCAAAGGGTTGCAAGTTGAATAGCTTTGCTGTAGGTCAAAGCTGCTTCTGTTACTGCATTAAGTTGTTACTGGTAACAGAGCATTGTATGAATGAAAGATGCAAGCACAAAGTTATGTTCCTAGGTTCTTCAGTAATCCAGGCTGTAAGTTGCTGGTGGCAGAGAGATGTTTCCAAAACATTTGAAGGTTATTTCGTAATATCCTACCCCAGATGACGTCACAGGACAGTCCAACATTTTCGAGGGTGGTAAGACTGGGTTTCCTGGCTTTCTGCTGTTTTTAGTGACCTCAAAATATCTCAAACTGACCCCAACCCACCTATGTCCTACGAGAGAGTGCAGCCTGGGTCCCATGACTGCATGCAGCCCACCACCCCCTGAAATTAATCTGTCCTGTGACCTGTGGATTTCCACTGTTTGGGGTAGGATATTAAGAAAGCACCTATTGTTATCTGACTTCTCTCAGCTAAATAAATAAGATTAAAAAATTTCAGTTACTATCATCATCAGGTGCCTTGCTGACTAGCGTGGGCGATACCTCTCTGTAATCTTCAACAGCATGTTTCAGTAGATGTGTTGACGCCCATCTGTGCCATGAAAAAAAAGCTGTGAAGAGTGCCGCACTAAAGAAATATAATAAACACACGGGTATGGGTGAACTCACACAAAATATGGAATGACATTAAGAAATAAAGAACAACTTATGCAGAATATTAGAAAGAACGCATGGAAGATTCTAACATCTCCCCCTCAACACCTCATTAGGGCGACTGGAAGGAGAGAAGAAGACCATTTTAAAATATTGACCACATACTCTCTTGCTGTATCATTGAAAACTGTTATGACAAATTCTCATATGGTATACAGTATAACTAGGTTCAAATGTTTGAGGCTGAACAAATATTGGTAAACTACTAACGAGTCTGTCTGTCGAATCTTGTCTGTCTCTAATGGAAAGGACCCAGAATAATCTGGGTATTTATTTTTCTTTGGGTGTTAATTATTAACAGATGATGTTAACATATGCTTATGGTAATTAAGATTGCTACCACATATTTGCAATCAAATAGTGGTATCTGTTATCTTGTGTAAGAGCCGGCATTGATTGTCATTTTGTATTAGAAAACCTACATTATCATGTCAGTTGTAAATAAACTTTCATACTTATTGTGCATGCTTTTTTTTTTATTTTTGTATTAAATAATCATGAAGTGAGTATTTTTATGAATGTTCCGGGGCCTCATTGTGTGGAAAACAAAAATAAACCCACTGCCTCCCCAACAAGCATGTCATAGGAGTTGACTAATACGAGGGGCTTCCTTCGAACCGGAGTGCATCTGCCCGAGCAGCAAGGAACAACCAACTACACAAAATAAGCTAGTAAAACGGATGTACATGCAAAATTCAGGCTCTGGTACAAAGTCCAGATGAACGAATAACCAGTTTTCTGTCGGGGCTTAAAGCTGGTGAACAAAGAAGGATGGCTTTCTTTAAAGTCGGAGTGCATCAGTTTGAGAGGCAAGGAACCGTCAGTCTGCAGAAAAATAAGTCAGATCTGTATAATGGATATGCCGCAACACTTAGGTTTTGGAATAAGAAAGTCCAGAAGTGGACGAACAATCAGAACTTTCTGCCACTCTGACTTTGAATTAGTCGCCTCTTTGGTAGGCAGTGAGTCAATTCTTGTTATCCCAAAATGGGCCCTTGGAACACGCACGGGGAGACCTTGATGAATGGCAAGATTGTTAGAATAAAGAGCAAGAGGAAGGCAAAGAGATAAATAAATAGATTGCTTAGCAATATGGATGGGGCAAGATAAGACCACTCACCTGGTGACAGTTAAAACATTACAGCCTTAACAGATGATGTTAACATATGCTTATGGTAATTAAGATTGCTACCACATATTTGCAATCAAATAGTGGTATCTGTTATCTTGTGTAAGAGCCGGCATTGATTGTCATTTTGTATTAGAAAACCTACATTATCATGTCAGTTGTAAATAAACTTTCATACTTATTGTGCATGCTTTTTTTTTTATTTTTGTATTAAATAATCATGAAGTGAGTATTTTTATGAATGTTCCGGGGCCTCATTTTTTTTTATTTTTGTATTAAATAATCATGAAGTGAGTATTTTTATGAATGTTCCGGGGCCTCATTGTGTGGAAAACAAAAATAAACCCACTGCCTCCCCAACAAGCATGTCATAGGAGTTGACTAATACGAGGGGCTTCCTTAGCTGGCCGATTGGTTACAATGACAGGTTGATTTGATTCAAGAACCGACATCACAGCACTTGGGGCATTCCCATTAGCGCTCTATCCCCATCTTCAGCAGTCAGCGAAGAGTTCCGATACTAATGGTGCCAGTAGCAATCTGATTAAACGTCCGACTTGCCTTTCCTCTGAGCCTCGAGCATCTGCCAGAACCTCTCGTCACTCCCTCCTGCATCAATCTCACCAGACTGTGGTGATCCATTTGCTCCTCCGAACTATGCTTTCATGAGGGAGACCCGGGTTTGACCCCCGGTAAGGTGATGGAGGTATGACATGAGCACAATTAAACATCCTAACCTGCACAGTCCATGGCAACAGCACTAGCTATGCGGCCCTAAATCCACAGGCTCATGAACTCCATCACTGACCTAAAATGTGATCATCCCTTCCCCCCCCTCCCCCATGTTTTCTCTGTGGTAGCACGCCTGACTTATACAGACATATCACACACACTCCTTGTGTAATGTGACTTGACCTTTTCTTTGGGAAACGGGACATCAACAGGTTTTGCCGGTGCTTTCTGGTCAATTCTTAAAATCAAGAAACCAAATTAGCTACATACACCTTAGTGAACGTCGGCCAACAATGCGGTCCTAAATCCTCAGACACACATATAACCCTCTTATTTTCCACCTACACTGCAAAAAGTGTAAATATAGGTAGGCAGTAACGACAGGCAATAAATCCTTGTCATTTGAAGTTGGGAGGGGGGGATTTGCACATGTTATAAAGCGCCAGATTTAACATGCTGCTGTGAATCCTGGACAGCTAATGAAAAAAATCAAACAATTTCAAGGGGCCTCGGAAATGTGGTTTCATACGGACAAATCCTTATAATTTCTTGGACAGCCAAAAAGAGCAGACAAAATTTTTGAAAGAGGTCTCGAAGACAATTAGTTAGTCGACAGATTGTCCTCTGTACACATTCATTTCATACGTGCTCGGATCCCCTCCTCAGTCAATACCGCAGTGTCTAGCAGCTGACGACACCAGTTCTATGTTTATTCGTTCTTCTTTTTTGGTTTCCCCCATAGTGTTCTTTTCTGATCATTGTGTTCTTGCAGTCTGGTCATAAGTCATTACTTGGGTCTCGAAAACATCTCCATAGAGCATTCAGAATATCAGTCTGGTCTATGGCTCCTCAGCTTCACCCCCATCCCTTCCTTTCCTTCCCAGTAGCATACTTTAGTCAAATTTTCAAAATGCCCTCTACACCAATAAAACCAGCACAGTTAGATAGCTGTAAACAATCTCTTTCCAACGGTACCTCATTTAGGCTTGTATGTCATTTCTGAGCTGAGATATGTAGGTTTTTGTGGAGATGAGATGTAAAAAACAGCTGTTAAAACTTGCATCCCAGAAACAAGAAGTTTTCTCTGCGCAACCAAACTGCGCACTTTCGTTTTTGCTTTGTTTACATTGGAGATTAGAGCGTGTAGAATTATTTGAAATAAATATAACCTCTTGACATTATATATTTTTGGAACGGAGTAACAAGATCAATCTAAAAAATTTGAAAAAAACCTTGAGTCAATCATAAAATTCCTCAACTTATTTTTAGACTCTTCATCTACATCTTTAAACAAATTTAAAGCAAGTACTGAAAAAACTGTCCCTGAACACCTAAATTCTGTTGTTATAATTTGTTCATACTGATCTCCAACACCCTTGTCAAACTTCTGGAAATTTTCCTGCAAATATTTGCCTCACCTTATATCCACAACTAACTGCAAAACTGATAAGATATTTCTGTAGCTCATCATCGAATGATTTCAGCCAGTGCAAAGTTTGGGTTTGGATAGATTTCATTTTTGCGTCAATGAATCCGAGCTTAGCACTGGGAGCTCTTCGCACAGCTGCATCCACAATTGCAAGAGATCTTTCTGCATGCATGTTATGAAGTGAAGCAGAAGATGTCTTTGCAATTAACTCAGCAGATGGCTTAGACAAGGGTCCATCTAAGTAGTCTTTAAACTGACGACTGAGGGTTTTAATAAAAGCTTCTGCTAATGTTTTTGACACTTTCTTAAAAACTTC